AATAGAAGCAGGTGTTCCACAGGGAAGTGTTTTGGGCCCTTTACTGTATATTCTATTTACAAGTGACTTTCCGACATTACAATCGACCATAACAGCAACTTTCGCTGATGATATTGCAGTACTTTCAACACACATCGATGCATCTGTTGCATCAAGCAATCTGCAAAGCCATCTTAATATTATTGAGGAATGGACAAGGAAATGGCGAATAAAAATTAACGAAAGTAAATCGAGTCATATTTCGTTTACTCTCAACAAGTCAACATGCCCAAGTGTTTACTTTTATGGACGAAAAATACCAAGTAATAATTGTGTCAAATACTTGGGTATGCATCTTGATCGTAGACTGACCTGGAGAGATCACATTTGCTCAAAAGTAAAAGCGATAAAAATTAGAACTGCAGAAATATATTGGCTATTAGGACGCAAGTCAAAATTATCCCTTGAAAATAAAATATTAATTTATAAAACAGTGATAAAACCTATATGGACTTACGGTATTGAATTATGGGGATGTGCCAGCAAGTCGCATATAGCATTAATGCAGCGTGCCCAATCAAAAATACTCAGACAGATAGTTGATGCCCCTTGGTTCGTCAGTAACAAGACCATACATGACGATCTGAATATTTTATATATCGAGGAAGTAATAAGAAACTTCAGTGTCCACCACTTTCAAAAACTAGAAGCCCATCCAAATAAAATAGTTGCACAACTGCTTGAGATGCCACATTCCAGGAGGCTCAAGCGTAAATCACCAATGGATAATATCCTAATCTAGCAAATTGTTTAATGGAACAATTTCTATATTTTTTAGAGTAATCATCGAAATATGTTAGTTAAGTTAATTTAATTTTTTTTTTTTTTGTAGTATTATTATATTATTTTATTATTTACTATTATTACATATTACTATTATTATTAGTTACTATTTTTATGTTATTATTTTTATTTATTCTTATTTAGTTTATTCTTTTTAGTTCATATATATATAAGCAATGCAGCTCATAGAATATAAGTACTGTTCTGATTGCTGTAAAATAATAAATGAATAAAAAAAAAAAAAAAAGTCCACACATTTTCTGCAATAACTTCCTATTTAATAAAAAAGTTAAATGAACATGTAGATGTATATTAAGTTTTAAACGTTATTTATTCCTAGATTTAAAAAATAATGTAGAAAATCTAGATTTCAGAATATAAAAATAAGCACTTAGTTGTTTAAATACGTACCGTATTTAAAAATAACTCCCTAGATTAAATTTTAAATGGATCTCCTTGAGACAGAACTAAATTAGGTTTCAAACTCCATTAAACTATAATTTATAATCATTAATAAATATTCATTATTTTTATTAAAATGATAATTTTATTTTTTATTTAAAGGATGTTGAATCTATCAACTTCTGAAGCTATAACTGCAGGCTCTGTTTAACAAGAAAATTAACTTGATTATTATATTTACACAAATTATCAAACTATATTACTATATTACTAGGAATATTGCAACCCGATACGATAATGTATTCCCAATCCAACGTGAAATGTTTTAATTAATTCTCAGCTAATATACGTACTATAATGCATTATGCATATTGCATAATCTAGATTCAAAAGAATTTTAAATTAGATATAGCTTTACACGGTTCTGTGCATGATGTTATAATCATTTTGACCCAGTTTATTAATGTTTCGAGTTTTTTGCGATTTAGTTTTGTAAATGACATAAATAGAGATGTTTAATTTACGCACGGATTATTTCAATTAAATTCTGTAGCTGATTATTGTTTTTTTCGAGGATTGCATTATAATGTAACATTTTCATTTTGTAATTTTGGATCATAAAAAACTTGGCAAAATTCTAAAATAACTAAACTTTCAATAGCAATAATATTATAGTTTACATGTAGTTAAAATTGATATCTACCACTTTGATTTTCAAACATAATTTGACCTCATTTTGCAATCAATATTTTTTTGGCCCTGATTCAGCAGTTTGCATATTTATTTAAAAAAAGATGAGACTTTTACACGAACAAAATAAAATCTAAAGTTTTAGATATTTTAAATTTATTTGCGTTCATGTTTTCATAGATTTTAGTTTATTCCATTCATGCAAGGAGTCTCAATGCAGTTGCTATATAGTAAATAATTTAACTAGGATTTGTAAAGAAGATTTTCGAAACCGCATTTTCATTTTAATAAAGATCTGACTATTTTCGCGAACAAAATACTTGTGTGTTTCACTCAATATTCTGATTTCGCCCTGTTTTGTTATAACTTGTGTGGATTTAGAACAAGGTTTGAATACACTTCGCCTTTTAAACTGTCATAAATAACACTCTCATGACACGCACGGATTAAGCTCGCGCCCCTTTGGCTGTGGCTGTGGCTGTTACGCCTTGGCCGGGCGTTCTATTTTTTTGGGAGATTCTATATTTATTTTTTCTTTGTTACGTAACCATTCATTTATCTTAGTATTTTGAGTTATCAATAAAATATTCTAAATTAATAAAATTATCTAGATATAAATAAAATTGAAAGTGAAACTTCTGTAGGTGCGACAAGAGAGTAACACAGCAAATTTGGACGGAAATGCGTTACGCCTCGAATACTGATTTGTCAAATTGCGGATAAAATTTTTGTAGTAAAACTTCTTCATTAATGATTCGTCATTCGCTCTCGATGATATCATTTCTATACGGGTCGATTGTGATTAGTCGTTATATCATGTGCGTGGCTTCTTTGTATGCGTGACTTTGTACGTGCGTACGTCACCGAAAGCGTGAAGCATATTGTTCATTTTTTGGTGTTTTATATCATTACATTTTAAGGCTAAATAGTAGTACAAATCTTGAGTTAATAAGAAAAGTCTGGTTCGAAAGAATATTTTATCCCGTCCCCCATAAATAATTATAGTGTAAATAATAAAACAAATGAAAAATATGGGCCGTGTAAGAAACGTAAGTTTATTGAAATAATTTGTATTGTTTGAGGTTTTCGAGGTTACTACATACATACCTTTGAGGTTGTTACTAAAATGTAAAATATTTTTATAGGCAAGACAGATACAATAGTTGCTCAAAGCATGAAATTGTAACGCCAGCGAAATAGTCAAAACAAACAAGCAGTCAATGAATGTACGTTAATTTCAATTACATGAAGTTTTTCAAACACAATTATTACATGATGAGTGAAATTGTGAAAACAATGTTTTTTTAGGCGTTGTTTTACATAATCCACTGTGTGAATGAATATTATAGAATTTAATAGAATTAATCAGCAATTACTTCATTTCTCTAATAAAGGTCCAATCCTAAATGCAAATTACTATAAATAATTTATTATATAAATATGGATAATGGTTGACACTAATAAATGTGTTTTATTTCATCACAAGTATTACCATATTACTAATAAACATTATTCAAAATTGCTGTATGATGTATTTATTTACAATTGAAATAATAAAAAAGTTTTACTTCAATCGCGCGTGAACCTTACTTCTTTTTTTAGCCAATTTGAATGATTCAAAAAGCATTCGAAACCTATTGATAAAAAGACATGCTGATTAGCTTTTGGCTGAGGAATTATTCTTCTGTACAATCATTGTTTTCATAGAAATTTATTTTTTATGAAAAAATACTAGTAATTAACGACGACAGTATGGGTATTCATAATCAATAATTTTTTATTATAGACAATTTATTTCGTTTATTCTTGGTTTACTGTATTTTGTATAACATAACGTTTACATGTATTCTCGTGACATAACACTTTTTATGAATGTTTAATAAATATAAAACACTTTTTCCCTTTATTTTCCGTCTATAATTTGTCTTTTTTGTGCCTAAATAAAACAAAGCGTGAGAACCATAAATCATGAACATTTATGGGAACAGTGCGTGATGTGAAATTATGAAAGAATGATTTACATACAAAAGTCAAGAATTTATTGCGCTTTGTATATGGTAATCGATTGTCAAGGGTTTGCAATTGTTTAAATTAATACAATATTAAATTAATTATAATTTTAAATTATAATTATATCAAGCAAAAATGAACTAAATTACTTATCATGTATATCACATGTATTTCATAAATATTTTTTTTAAACATAAGTCAAATAGTAGTATTCATTTTTCATTTTCTAGAACATTGTTGTAAATTGATGATGTTTCGTTAAAAATGGAAAAAAGTTTAACTATTTTCCAATAAATCACATTTATACAATTTGAATTTAAGCGCGCACTATGGATCGATCACATTTTAAGATGTAGTTTGACACAGCTTGATGATCGTCATATCAAGAGAGAGAGAATGGCCAAAAGATCCAACCATCTAATTCAATTCATTAAGATCTCTGAATACAATGTTAATACAATACCTAGGCTAGTAGATAGTTATATAAGTCAAACCTCGGTTCACAAGGCGCTCTGGGTGCACGGTTTCTATATTACGCGGAGCTAAAAATCCGACATCCCTCCGACTACACGGACTTCCTATTACACGGTTTTTGTTTGAAAGTCCATATGTTCCTTAGGCAACCTATGAGTGATTATAGAAACTTGATATTAAAACAGTATTAATGTAAGTTTTGTTCTCGACTTTTACCTTTTAGACATGCCTGATTATATAATAGCTGTCTAAAAACACGTTGAACTGACTACTGCGTCGCGCCAATTTTTGAAAAAGTTGTTTATGTCATACATGTCATTTTGTTTGTATTACTCCTACTCCAAGTTGCATTTCTTGGTCTCCATATAGCATGATAAAAATGGTGCGATTTGTACTAACTCTGATCCTTTCATAGTGTGGTTCCCATACTATATAAGTTTCAATAGAACGCACTGCGAATTAGCCTGAATTGTATGTTAAATACGAGTTTTTTATGGCACGGTTCCCATACTGCACGGTACGAACTTGCCGCGTTAACCGAGGGTTGACTGTACATATATATTTTTGGTGATCTAATATTTAAATTAAACATTTATTATTAGGACGGTGCGGGGCAGTGGATATCTCTGGAAGCGGAGCTGGTGATGCGAGACGGTGAGGTGGTCGGCACAAAGGGCGCCACAGGGCACTCGCTTCTTGTCGACTGCCGATTCGAACTACCTTTCGGTAAGATAAATTTTAAATTTATTTATTACATATTCAACATATTTTTGCAATGCAACAATTAGTCAAATCATATTTTATGAGCTAAGTAAAGTATGGTTACAATATGAAATTGTCACAAATGACTGTGTTTAACATATATCACTCTATTGCTACTACTATTAATCGAAGATTAATGCAGCAGTCCCATTATTTTTGTATATACTTGGGTTATACGGATATTTTATCCATAATATTTACATATATACATACGTTGATAAAATTACAAAATATACAAGATACAAGTCTTTTAAAGCGAAATGTCTGTCTACTAAACCATGATTATAAATCCTAGAGTACAAAAGCGCTATATTACTTTCCTTTATAATTAATCACTTGTTTTTATTTTCATGTTTGTATTAAATAATATAACTAATGTTTCTTGGAATTCAAGGAAAACAAAGCTAAGTTGTTAGCATTGCATATTCAGATATTCATTAGAGATTTGTTTTTGTTGATTGTAAAGTATGTTGCTTTTCTTATTCTCGGAATTGCTTCATTTTCTGCAACTAGAAATAAATGATGCTTCGTTGTTGTTTTAAAACTACATGTTATTTACCATGATTACCTGCGCAATTTCATAATAAGATTGAGATTGTAATTGAAAAAATTTACTGTAATTTTATACAAAACAATCCTTGTTTCCAACTTGAATCTCTTTTACTACGAGTACAAGTTCAAAATTTTTATAAAAAACTAAATATATTCCAGTGTTTCCACAAATAATAAATTATTGAAATTTTTTACATGGCAATTAAAATTAATAAAACATAGACATAATTAGTATTATGATTATCATATTATGTAGTCGTATTGAAAACACATACGCACAACATATAGATTTCTATGTGCACTAATCAATTTATTTTTTTCATAATAAATTCAAAATAAAAACAATTTGAAACAAATCAACATAGTATTATTGATTTATGTTTTGTACACTTCGGTAACGTTTTCTACTATTATCATCAACTATTAATAGATATATTACAGATATTGTAAATACATTTTAGCATAGAGTTATAATTTCAATTAATTTATAACTATATTCTATTTATTATGAAATATGTAAATAACATTACATTTAAAAAATTACGATACCCTAGATAAAAAGGAAAGATCACTTAACAATTTAACTTAACGTTGATTACTTACAATTGATTTACCAAGATTGTGACATCAATTTTGAATTGGTTTATTCAATAGTTTTCGAGATATGCGAGAAAACTTAACAATTGAACTTGTCGGGCATGGGAGAGTACGGACCAACGCACTCTGACCTGAAACTAGCCTAGTTTTAGTTTGCGAGCACATTTAGCCTAACGAATATTTAAACAGATGCACCATTTTATCTTCTCAAAAGCGGCTTTTGTGATTTTGATGAAACTTGGCACACATTGTTGTTATACTTTACTAAGATTATAACAAAAATTTTAAATTGGTTAATACCGTAGTTTTCGAGATATACGAAATTACACTCTGACCTGAAACTAGCTTAGTTTCAGGTTAAGAGCAAATTTGGCATAGATGCACTATGGTATCTTCTCAAAAGCGAATTTGATAAGACTTGGCACACATTGTTATTATACATTACTAAGATTGTGACAAAAGTTTTAAATTGGTGCATAAGGTAGTTTCCGAGATGTGCGAAATTACACTCTGACCTAAAACTAGCCTAGTTTTAGGTTGAGAACACGTTCGTCCTACCTATGCATCATGGTATTTTCTCAGAAACGGATCATGCGAATTTAATGAAACTTGGCACACATTATTATTATACTTTACCAAAATTGTGACAATTTTTAAATTGGTTTATACATTAGTTTTCGAGATATGCGATATTAACAATTGAACTAGTCTGCTCGACCATTTGTTTAAATAAATAGGATACAAAGAAATCACTTTAAACGTTTAAATTCTTTGTTGTCACTCGCTTTCTTCAACGTAAAAAAAAAAATAAAATTATCATATTCATTCATATTTGTACACGTACATATATACACTGAAAGCTAAATATTTATAAAATATGTACATAACTTAATAACGTACATCATTCAACATTCAATATTCCTGCAATAACTAGATAGGGCCATGATAACCCTAATTTTGCAATAAAAATCATATATTCCAAATTGTTAGCAAATTTGTATATGTGGGATTTCTTATAATTATTATTGTAATAAAATTTATCCGTAAATTATTTAGAATAAACATTATGATATTACACACGATCAGGTCCTTACGATCCGCCAACAGGATGGCGAAGTATCCTTGCCGAGAAGAATATAAGGAAAAATTCTCATTTAGGTATTCAAGATCTAGAGTTGAATGTCCAAATTCACTATAATTGAATGAATTATATAAATATTAAAATTTAACATATGAATATTTAATCACTAAAAAATAAATAGACTTGCATCCATACTTGCATTTTTTGGATTCTAAATTTTATGGCATTCAAAAATTTATAAAAATATCATTTTGCAAGGATAAAAGATAATTTTCAATTTTTAATTTTAAATTATTATAGTGAATTTTGACATTCATAATTTTATTTTTAGCACATTTTTTATTCTTCAAGGATAGAAACTTTTCAATGGATTTCACAAGGACACATCCCAGCAAATAAATAATTTATCTAATAATACTCTAATTTTATACACTTACATTTCAGTCTTCAAGCAGGCACGCATGCTACTATTTTTTATAAATTCTTAAGACTTTATTTAATCTGAGTGTTGTAATATGTGTTTTTTGTAGTTTCTTTTCTAATTTTTTCAGATACTTTTGTTGTGATGTTATCTAAATAGTGCTTTAATTAGCATAGTTTGACAATTACTATTTAACCAATTATGTTAAAAATGTAATATTGAAATGAGAAGTTTACTTCACTTGATTAAAAATATTGATGCAGAAAAATAACATCAATTTTATAACATACTTATTATTAACTTAAATTGATAATTAGTAGGTCTTTTTCAAATTTTCTGTATATGATAACAATAATATCATATAACAAAATTATGCTCTTAATGTTATTATTCAACGCCAGTATACCTTTTATAGTCTTAATATGTCTTTACTTCGGATTTCTCGATATAATGTGTTGATCTCTATATATAGTACGTATTATTAAATTTATATTATTACTCCACCGTAATATTTTATATGTCAAATCGGCTTTACTTTACGAAGTATTCAGGTGGCGCGTAAATCATAAAGACTTATGGTACAGAGATATGTATACTTTTTCGAACGATCATGATGCCATGAACTTGTCAAAAAAAGTCTAGACATTTCACAAAAGAAATGTAGAGGCCTAAGTATTATTATAGAATTCAATTTACTAAAAATTACATGTCGATCAATATTGAACTTGACAGTATTTAATCACTTTCTTCACTTCGGCGTGCGAATACTTGAAAACTTGTTGTTTAATTTTGTGACATTTCATTGATTGAAAAAAGTCATGTCAATATAAATACATACATGGGTATATATATATATATATATATATATATTTATATATATATATAATTTACAAGCATGATTAAAATAGTATTAACATCGATATTCAAATTTTCAAGAGAATTTTCTCCAATCGTTTGAATAAATGTTGAAAAACGTAAAATAATCATTCTGTTTATCTTAATTTTAGGAGTTTTCAAGACTATTTACTTATTTGTTCTATAATTTAAAATTTAAATTGTTACATTATTAAATGCATGTGTGAAAATAGTACAAGAATTTTAACTAATATGATTGAAAATTGCATCGAAACTAATACAGTAGGCATAACAAATATAAATTTGGCGTCGCTTTGATGAAATTTTTTTTGAAAAGTTTTTTGGTAATACTTATATTAAGAACAAAATTGAACTAAAACTGTAGTATATAAATTTAAATACGTATTAGTAAGGAACAAATGCATTTATATGAATATTAAAAGTATCAATTTTAACTCGTAGTAGAAGGATCAATTGTGCTCTCATATTCTCATATGCTTAGCTTCATATTTTATAAAATGTATTTTTTTTAACTTTTTTTATAATGTATTTTTTATAATGTATGCATATATTAAGTACCAATCAAAATATACATTATTTTATAAAACAATGTGCTGGACTGGATTTTAAACTTTTAGTGAGTTTATCTCTAATGAGATCTTTTTTGTAACATTTTACTTTAGATGGTATGGCAATTTTTTTTTTATCTTTGAGTAGGAGGTTCCTCACTCAATTTGTTTAAATATTTGTTTGGATGAAAAAGCTGTAGCTGAAAACAAACTGACGAAAGATTGATTAATTTGTATTGATTGATTAATTCGTATTTGTATTGATTAAAGTGTTATGAAAATAAATAAGCATATAAAAATTAATTTTCGGGTTTCGAAAACTACTTTATACTTTCTGTAATAAGCCAGGCACTAAATCCATAATATCTTCACTGTTCAATCTTTGTAATCATTTATTAACATCTACATTGTGTTGCATAACAATTTTGATACAACATATCCCATTACCTCCAATCATGACTATATGAAACAGCATTTGTCTGAATCCTGATATTTCATTCTACAATCCACAATTTTCTCTGTTAGGCAAAGGAATGATTACCGGCGCGACTTTCATAAAAGCAATCGCCCGCTATCTCCTGGGCACATTACTGGCTGTGATATATCTGTACGATATTTCAAATTAGCGGCATGCTTATATAATATATTATGTGCTCGATTTTATACACGCGAACATAATATCTCAATTTCATGTGACGTGTAATTTAACGATATTGTTCCGATGTATTTACTGTGGAAGTACTACACTGTACAAGTTTTTATAGATGATGGATGCACGTGAACTCTATTGCAATGTCAGTTTTGAAGTTTAAAAATAGTTTAATCGATTAGGCAGTGATTTGTGACAATGTTTATACATGTCAGTAAATATGGATAGTGTTGTAAAATTCTATTTTGTTTGGTACTTTATAAAAATTGTTAGAAAAAAAGAGTGCGCGTAAGTTTCACACGCGATTGAAGTAAAACTTATTTGCTACTGCTCAAGAAGGCATTTCAGTAAAAATAAATACATCACATAACAATTTTGAATAATGTTTATTAGTAATATGGTAACACTCGTGATGCACATATTTATTAGTGTCAACCATTATACACATTTACATAATGATAAATTATAAATTATGTATTTATATTAGTATTAAAAAAATTAATTAATATTTAAAAACAATAATGTAATTAAAGACATACTTCAAATATGACATGATCGGTTTGTCATTGTAATTAGCATTAAGAAATGAACCTTCATTAGAGTAATAGAATAATTGCTGATTAATAACTTCTATAATATTCGTTCACACAGTGGATTGTGTTACACAACGTCTAAACAAATATTGTTTTCGCAACTTCACTTATCATGTAATAATTACGTTTGAAGAACTTCATGAAATTAAATTTAGCATACATTAATTGACTGATGGTATTTTTTTTACTTTTTTGCTGGCGATATAATCTCATTCTTTGAACAGCTGTAATATCTGTTCTGCCTGAAAAATATTTTCCATTTCAATAACTTCAAAGATTTATAGAAACTACGAATAATACAGAAATTATTTCAATAAACTTATGTTTCATACACGGCGCAAATGCTGCATTTGTTTTATTATTTTCATCATAATTATTTACGGGGAACAGGGTAATATATTCTTCTGTTTCAGGCATCTTTTATTAAATCAAGATTTGTACTACGACATAACTTTAAAATGTTTATTTATCTATGCCGATTTCCTTGTTAATATCGGTTTGCATACAACGTTCATGCCGGTACAACGTTGATGCCGGTATGGATACAACAACAGATCTCTATTCACACACGCGACGACTAATTACAATCGACCTGTATAGCAATGATATCATCGAGAGCGAATGACGAATCATTGACCTTTATCTTATCTTATCTGTCGTAACGCACTTCCGCTGCATTTGTACGGATTTACACCCTAGTCGCACCTAAAGAAGTTTTACTTCAAGCGTTTCACACATAAAACCTAACTTTATAAATGTGTTATCATGACACATCAGAAAGATGCAGTTATGATGACATTCTTTTTGACGTTTGTGCTTTTTCTGGTGTAGCTTTTATATCTAAAACCGCCTGATCACACAGAAAATATATATTATTTTGAACGTTTTTATCATCGATTTATATGAACATAGAACACGTGCTCATAATAACGCTATGTAACATTTCTTTTGTATCGGAAAATAAGCTCCTCTGTCGGAAAACAAGCCCATCTGTCGGTGTAAGAAATTCCAGTAAATATTTTTATAAGTAGCTCAAATTCATAAGCTAATATTTGTAAATGTTGCCTCAAAGTAAATAAACTTCACAATCAATAAAGACGAATTTATTTAATCTTTTCTTCACCGAAACCATTATTTAACCTAGTTCGAGATGAGACCTGCATTACGTGCAAATGGCACTCGGAACATAATGGAAACTTTATGCGGGCAGCGATGCCCGCTTTAAGGTACTAGGTAGTAGTACTTCTACAAATTCAATCCCCGCAAGGTTTATCACATCTGCGCTCATGATAAACTTCTGTTCTCTCGTTGGCATTCAATGCATATAATACTACAATGGATTGTTGCACGAAATGTGTTATGAATATATGTTTATTTATACCCACATGTGGTAAAGCTTTGTGAGATATGATATGTGCATTCAGAGCCATACGAATGCAGGTTTTTGCTTTTACAATGTATGAGAAGATGCAGAATTTATTGGATGTTATGCAGTTTTTGAATGTAGAATAATATATTTATATTGTATAGATATAAATATTGTAATATATATATATATATATATGTGTGTAGGAATATTACATGTGTTTTAGATGTAAAATATGAATCATAATAAAATTTTGTTAGGCGAAGTATTCTGTAATCTAGACGAATATACTCGTCGCGGAAAAGTGGTTGAATTTTGTATATAACAGTGACCATTTGCTATTTTAATTGCAATTAAAAAAAAACAAACAAATACATTCTGAAATGTCAAGTTAGAATATTTTGAAGCTATGACTGTGTAGAATGAGTAGTAGAATTTTTTTCTAAAGAATGTTGCATAAACGTCTTGGAATCTGGAAATTATATGAATACTTAATTGAGAGTTGAGATTTTATTATTAATTTTTTTTAAACATTGAATTTTCGTACTATCTCATACTTTTAATCCAGAATAATTAGTATTCGATGCGTTTTTAAATGGCAGAAGATTTTCTTTTTATATTTATTTTTTTATATTTATCCTTGAGACATTCTGATTATATATCAATTTATAGCCAATTTCTTTTATGACAGACGTATCAATTATGTGATCAGTATTCTTCTAGCACTTTTCACGCGAAGATAATTATTTCTGTCTGATGATTCTGTATGACAATAATTGGTTTAAATTGGCACTACTCTTTGTAAAAAAGAGAACGAAAATAAAGTTTCTTCTACTGTTTAAAAATTATTATAATTATTTTGAGTTATTTTGTCATTGCTTTAAGTGCATAATTTATATCGAAAATCATAATTTATATATTCAAATCGAATCTAATAACAGTTTGTTAATTTAAAATGTGTTAGTGTTTTATACCTTAATATAGCTGTTTTTATTTCAATAATAAACTTTATTTAATAATGATAAAATACCTGATATTTAAGCATCAGCAAAGTATATATAAAATACACTAAAATTTCTTGATTGGTAGTTTTATAAAACGTTTACTGTATGAAATGAAAAGTGTGATTTTGAGCGACTTTTGTACAATTTCCTTACGGCAAAAATTTTATTTTTTGATTATATTGATTATAAATATAATAAATTAAATTTTGTTCTCTTTAAATGCGCGTATACAATTTTCATCTGAAATTGTGTAAAATATTATTTGAAAAATTTATATGTAATTAGTAACAATTATATAGATAACGAGTGCTCAACTGATGCACTTAATATGATAATAATAGCACTTAAAATAATTCAGATATATCTGCATTACCTGAATGACAAATATCTTTGAACCATATTTTAGTTAATTGTTTCATGTAATTAAATTCTGATTTGTAGATTTGTAGACTGAATCCAATTTTTATACTTTTTAGTCACTCTATTATTGCTTGCTTATAACTGCATACAAAATAAAATACATATCTTATCACATTTTTATCACAACTATAGCATATTAATTTTTCTCGATTTTTCTTCCAGGATCTCTACTAATTTCTATGCGGAATCTTTCTTCACACATCCTATCTTTTTAAACAATCTCGATATTGTGTTGTACCTACAATCTATATTTTTCTACAGGGCACAAAGTGATATTTTATTATGTGTGTTATCGTTTGATGTTTTGTTATTCGATATTGGAATATAAAGCTTATATTTGTTTCTGTTTTCTTGATTCAGATCTAGAAAATACTGAGGGAGCAGATCTCCAAAGGAAACTTGAGATGTTGAATAACATCATGGACCAGGAGGCGAGGGCGGAGCAGGCGCGGAGACAAATTCAATATTATGGTCATTGTGAGTTTTCAAATTATAAAAAAAATATTAATTTACTTACTTCTACATTTAGTAAAACATTTTTTAGTTAAAGATAGAAGTTATAAAATTTCAACATTATAATTTATTATTATAGGAACTCTTATAACAATGGTTTGTAAAATATTATGTATTTCAATTTTAAGCTGGTTATTCTGAAGACAGTGATTATACATCTGACCTTAACTATCCTGTCGGGCAACATCCAAACTCTTCCGCCTCGCAATTTAGATCAGCTGCACATCAGATGCACACCCCGCAGGTAATTATGCATTATATATATATATATATATATATATATACTAGATGACTCCACAATTCAAAAGTTCCTAATTTTTTAATCTCCCATCATATACTTTTTAATATCCTATTTCATGTCCTGCCTTTGTGATTCATTTATGTTCTTAGCATAAGCAGTATACGAAATTTAGCAAAAAAAATAGTATCTACGGTAAAAGTACAATATCACACTTGATTTTACCATACAACGTAATTGCTTCAATAATTTAGTCTAAAATTTGTATAATCTCGTACGATATATTAGTTACTTTTTAGCAATTTTAATTTTTAAAGTACATTGTCCTTACTAATAATTTAATAAACATTATTGTTTATGTTCAAATCTTAGGTGAATTTATTTGTAACATCTAGTTCATATGAGCACTCTTCAATCTAAGATCAACTTGCTAAATATTCCATACCCAATGCCAAACAAATGAATTTTTGTCACACGAAACAAAATTCTAAATAATTTTTTCAATAAGTAAAAATATTCTTTTGTATTTAAATGATTTAGTAAAGTAAACCATAATGCGACATGCACATGTTTAAAAATATAATGTACATGCAATTTTGGACTTATTGCGTTATTTATTAAACTGAATTATATAATTCCATCTGCCAAACATATACTGTTGATTGTATCTTATATTATTTGAATTTCTGGCACATCTCAGTTGATTTTCGGCAATAATAATGTAGACTCTACAATTTTCTTGTATATTATATTCTAATATTATCTAGGTTCATAATTTCAGCTAAATTCAAATTTCAAGTGAATTGTGCAGATGACCGTTTAAATGTTTTCAATGTCAAACAATGATAAGTGGTTTTATATAATTTTTGTCATTCATTTCTACAATATTACTTTAGTTTCATCGTTTCAATGAATCCAAAAAAATCATTTTACAAACTTTGAAAAGAATTATCAAAATCCGAATAACCGTTCAGGAAAAGTATCAAATCATACACGCGTACAGAAGAATTATATATATAAGATGCATAATTTTTAATTGTAATAATTATAGTTTGAAGATAACAGAAACAAAGTGTGAGTAAATAGGTTATGAAGTTAGAATTAGTAACTTTCATGTGTTTATTAATAATAATAAAAATTTTATTGAAAAAATACATTTTAGTTAAATATACTGTTGAATATAAACATACGTAATTGCATTTTACTTTGAATCTAGAGAAACAATCTAGTTGTACAAATGCTCTATTTAAAATCATATTCAGTTTTTTTAGCTAGTTAGATAGTTATTTATTGGTTAGTAAGTGCAATACTTAGCTCCTTCATAAGTATTAATTGAACCATCTTATGTAAGAGTATCATTTCTAATATGAATAATAATAATCATAAATAATCAAGTAATCAAATATAATTTTATATTTTATATAATTTAATCTAAAATTGAATAATTCTGGCTAACTAACAAATACATTTTAAAATGTCGATGTTCTATTATGAATGTTATTAATTCTCCAAATACTACAAAAGATCTTTATCAAATGCATAAAGTGGTTTTGATATAATTACCTTCAAATGTCAAATAATATCACAAATGGACTGCAATGAATTATTTATTGAATGTGATGTGCATCTAATTGAATAGCTAGTAATTACTCTTCGGCAATGCAATTACAGAACCCGCACTTTCAATTTCCACTCAGTCACCTAATGGAAAATATGGCTAACAATAGCTATTTTGCCACAATCATATATATATATATATATATATATATATATATATATATATATATATATATATACTAGCTGACCCGACAGACGTCCTGTACCCGTGTCTACAATTTCAAAGTTCTTTTTTTTAATAACCTATACTTATATTTACCATATAGTTAAGAATTAATATTTTTTCACACTACAGTCAATACTGAAGTTTATATGCATCCTTATGGGTGATCTTAAATATAGAACTGCTTTAAATATAATGATGAGTCTCAGAACTCACACTTTACTCTTTAAATATACTGTGAAATTCAAATAAGCCACGTAAAACCATCAAACAAACAAATATTGAAATATATTTTCACTTTTAAACTTGACAGTCTTCAATTATTTCCAATACCAAACAACGCCTTAAATATTTTCAATGCCAGGCAATGATAAGCGGTTTTTTGTAATTTTTTCCATTTATTTCCACAATCTAACTACATTTCTATAATTCAGATAATCCTAAAAAATTCCCTTAACAAACTTCAGAAAAATTTATCAAAATCCGAATAATCGTTTAGAAGGATTATCCTTTCATACACCATTACAGAAAAATTTTATATATACAATAATGGAAAACATAAGAAAATCATTATCCATCGATTGCTGTTTCAATTTTTTTTTAAAGTTTTCTATAGATCCAGTTTGTTTTAAAGACAGAGTTTAAAGGGTATGATATATGATAGTACAATAATTTCTAATTCAAAATTTTTGTGCAATTAAAACATTCGGTCAATTCTGTAATTATCATTTATTGATATTTTGTATTTTGCATGATTTATATTAATTATTAAGTTGACAACCTAGGAAATACACCTTTCACCCTTAGAAGGCTTCAATTGAGTTTTTAGGTTTGCTGACGTCGACCAAATGTATAAAAAAAATATTATTGGATAGTTTGAGATTCAGATGTCAATCAGTAACAAAAATTATGTTAAATTCAATTATATTCAAAGAAAAACATATTTATTTACTTTCTAGTTTCATTTGCTCATCTTTTCTTTCTCATCATTTTCATCATGAACTATTTTTTCTTTTACTTCTTATTTATAGTATAACATGATAAATTTTTTTTTATAAAAATATAAAACTTCAAATTCTTACTACATTTGAATAAAATGTAAATGTTTTCTTATTTATTTTCATAATTTTTTAGATTTTTTAGATTTAAAAACATTTACTTTATTGGATGAGTTGAATTATAGTATATAATTAAAATATGAAATTATTACCCAAGGGTATTATTGTAAAACTAAGGGTATTAGTTTAGTACTATTATACTCTAACTCAAAGTAACTAACTTTCATCTAAAAAAAAGAAAAAGCTCAACAATTCTCAGAAAAGACCACATTTCAATGTTCTGCGAAAGTTATCAGATATAATATAAAAAATATAACCTTATTTCAAAGAAGAATTATAGAACATTGTGTTTTCTTTTAATAATTTGCATACTTCTAATTATCATACACAATTTTGAGAACATTTATGCAAATAACACGATGCAATAGTTAGAACAACTTTCTTAGTGAGGCATAAATAATTAAAATCGTGCAAGAAATTCTAAATAAAGTAGATTTGTTATCTTGTTTGAGATTTCTTCAAATGTATGCACTTCAAATATGCACTTCTCATTTTAGTTTACAAGAAATACTGGTAAACTTGTTGGACATTCCGACAAGTAGTTCATTTTGTAAAAGCTATCTCATTGTTTAAAATATAGTTAGATGCATAGTTGTATTTATGCAGAAGTTTTCTTTAATCTTCTACATAAAACTGTTTGAGCTGCTTTGTTACTCGGTCGGAAAATTCCACTTGATTTATGGATCAACGTATTACAAAAGTTGCATAAAATGCAGAGTACTTTGTTATTTAAAAAAAGAATATAAGTGTATAAGTTTACTTTGTAAGTAAACTTATATACTTGTAGAATTATTGAATACATTTCAATAATTTTCATGCTAATGTATTAAATTTTACTTTATAATTTAAAATGAGGTAGCGTAATTCTTTAAGAAAGGGCTTTTCTTGCTTAAATTAAAATATAAAGTTTCATCGCAAATGCACTTTTATTGTAAGTACCTGTCTGATTGTTTTATGAAAATATATTTATCTTCTAGTATCAAATTTAACCAGTTAACTGTGAAGCTCTGATCGAACAGTTCTCAATGTTTTGTGTGATTTAAATCGAGCTCATGACGAGTCACAGAAATCACAGAAAAAAATGAGTTTATTTTATAAAATTGAAAAATTTTACTAATACATATTAAATTTTTGTTAACATAAATCTATATTATATATGCATTGAAAGGAATGGATTAAATTCAATGAAATATACATTATACATGTAAATGTAAGAAAGTAAGAATTGTTTTTGGTGAAAAGCATAAATTATTTCCAAAGTTGATAGTAAAGATATTTAAATAGCTAAAATTATTTTTTATTGATTAAGTGTATTATTTTCACACTTAAGGAAGTTTATGCAACTTGCCTTGAGGCAAAATGCGACTTATAACTACTTATCTAATGTAATTATAGCCTCAAAATGTGCTAAACAACGTTTTTAAATATATATTTTATTTTATAAAAATATACTTTAATTAGCAAATGGTCACTATTTTATTCGCATGATAATTATACTCGCTACCACTCTATGACGAGTATATTCGTCAATTACAGTTAACTTGTTAAAAAAGAAATTGTATTAACCATAAAGCAGTATTTCGTCTGTTAGAGTTTCTATTTTAAATTTGAAACAAGAAATTGTAGCTTTATCGTAAAATGATTTATAGGTTGAGAACCTGATTTGTAAAATAAATAATAAATCTTAAGAATATTTTGGAAAGACCAAATAATACGATAAAATAATTCTGATGTTCAAGTTGACAATGCTTAAGCGATTATTATACTTTTGATAAGAATTTATTGATCAAATGGATAACTTTTATATGGCATCTTAAGATACGTGTATATTTTTCCTGTTCATTTTATTGAAATAAATCCTTTTGCATAATTAATTATAAAACATATTAAAATATTAGTTTTAAACTTACTCCAATATCAAATATTATGTTTTATTTTATCAATACCAATCCGATGCATCTGCAAAACAAAGAAAAAGCTAAAATGATGCAACTTTGTGGAATATATTTTGATCACTAATTATAACACTAAGTGTCTATTGAAAACATTAAAAATCGCTAATGATCATAGAACTAGTTAAAACTAGGTTAATTATGTAATTGACTTCAATCTTTAACCCTATCATACATATATATAGTTATTATATTTAAAATTATTGCCTACATTTTGTATAAAAGTACAATGTCAAAAGTGTCTAAATTTAATACTACAGATCAAAATTATCATTATACATAAATTAAGAACATCTGATTAAGTCCACATACTTTTGTCTTATTATATCTCAATCTCAATTTATAAAATCCTAAATTTTTTTCTTTATCTTCTAATTGGGGCCTAAATAACATTTATAATTGTAATACACTTTTACTTCTTTTATTATTGATTCTTTTATTTCATTGTTGATCAAAGTTATTTAAAAATGTTTAACTTCTTTGGTGAATTTATCTGTACATTTATTACAAAAACTCTATTATTGTATTTTATTCTTTTTATAGCGCTCTTTGGAAACGTCTCGAGAAAACTCGTATGAAAGGGATGATGGCCCACCAACCCATCAGCCCTCTCATGGTCCATATTCGCAGCATCTCACCCCTGGAAATCATTACTCTCATCATAGACAGGTAAATAGTTAAAAATAAGCATATAAAATAAACATAACTATTTCATATATTGAATTGATCTGGAACTCTCTTGATATTGTTTACACAAATACTCGATACTATTAGTGGAGAGCTTAAATTCATATCTACTATTTATTTACAATTTATTAACGATAGTACTAATACGTGAATAAATATAGCTCATACACTAAACAAATTTGTTATACATAATAAATTTATACTTGCTCTTATTGCCTTAATCATTTACAACGAGTAGATTTTCTCCAAAAATATTTTCTTGAGGCATTCTTCAACTCAATGAATTATATCAACATCGGAGCTTGATAATACTTACCCTCAGTGCAAATAAAATATTTACAGAACGATTCTTTTACCACAGTGTCTGCCACTGATTTTATTACAGACTATTGACTAGTCCGAGCCTCCTTAATTAAATGAATGAACGACTTGGTTTTCTCTGATCATACATGATTAATCCGTCTGAGCTTTTTTGCAATTAGTAAAAAAATCACATATGTGTGAATGAAGACTTTTTCACATGAACTAAGTTATACACGAAAATATCTATAGAGGTATGATTATTTATCTGTATGACAGACAAGTTGGACTACTAAATATTGTTTTATATGCCTTATAATTCAGTAGATGCATCTTAATTTTTTTTCTATTACATTGATACGAATCGGTTTCGAATGAATAATCGTCATTTATAGAATATAAATAATTAATTACATAATTTATATGAATATAAAAAACCTGCATTTTCTAATAATGAAAGAAATTAATTCTCGACTGATAAATATCAAATATAATAGAGCACATTTTTTGTATGATTATTATCATGTGTTTCTAATAATTTAACTGTCTATATATAAATAAAGAGCGTTAATTTATTATTAGACCGTATCATTATTATATATTACATATATTTTTTATTAATAATTCATAATTCAATATCTATGACTAATTTGTTTCTGTTATTGTAATGCTCTATCTCCTACATAAGTATTTTTATACCAAAATCAAACAAAAAGTACTCCACATTCCACAAAACAAATAAAAAGTTTAAAAACTGGCTTTACTGTCAAAACTTTTATACCATGTTTTCGAACTTGGTTTTATTGATTTTGAATTAAATTGTTTTCCGAAGAAAATTTCTTAAGTGGAGATGTAAGCCTCCAGTTGCTTCTTGAGGATAATGATTTAATACTCATTTGTAAAATCTTAAAATAACAAAACAAAATATTGAAATAACATTATGATTTTTTTAAGTTAAATATAAATTGCGTTGTTGTAAAAATAGAATATAATCATTAACAAAAAAACAAAACTTGGTTTAGAATGCTTGCAGCTCACAGAAGCTAATGTTACTTATTGATACGAAATTTATCAATTTAGTATAGAAAGTGCGATGATTTTTTTAATATATATTATATGCAATAAAATATTTAGACGTATTAGATATTATATAAAATACTTATGATTTTTTGCCACAACATTGTATTAATTTAAACCGTCATTTATTTTAATGTATGACTTCTATTCCGTATTCGAATTACTTTTGCTCATTTATAATTAACACGATTTAATTGTTTTCCAATTTGAAGCTGAATGTATTCTAATATGTGCACTAAATTAATATATACATTATAATTATCTGTAATCGCAAATAATTAATTTTGGCACACATCATTGAGTCAATTTAAACCGCCAATTATACTAATTTATGGCTTCTATTTAGAGTTATTTTTACTTACTGTGATCTACAGCATTTAGTCATTTTCCATTAAAATCTATATTTGAAATATACAACACGTAAAACAAAATATTAAATATTAATACAGGTATTTGTAAAACTGAATATTTATTTATAGCACATATACATTGAGTTAATTTAAAACGCCGATTATATTAATTATGGGTTAAAATTAGTTGGAACCTCGTCATTTAGTTATTTTCCATTAAAATTTATATTTGAATGCGTAGTCATGAAGCCAAATGTTAAATATTAATACAGTTATTTGTGAAACTGAATAATTTATTATAGTATAGATCATTGAGTTAATTTAAACCAGCAATTATATTAATTTATAGATGTTTTTAAGAATTATTTTTACTTGGTCAAATACAAAAGTAATTCATTATTTCTTTATATATAATACGTTGCAATCAATAAAATGAAACTAAATATTGGCTATTAGTCAAATTACTTTTAATATAACACTAATTTTAATTTATTAAAACGGCATGTAACAGAATTTAAGATGTCTGAGAATATTTAAAACCGCATAACATTGTCTAAAAATTTTTTTTAAGACGACGTAAGCTAAATAAATTTTCTCTGACACTGTTGTAACTGTGTGAAAATGTTGTACCTTGTCTGATAATGTTGTACCTTGTCTGAAAATGATGTACCTTGTCTGAAAATTTTGTAACCTGCCTGAAAATGTTGTAGCTTGTCCGAACAAGTTGTGGCTTATCTGAAAATGTTGTATCTTGTCTGAAAAAGTTGTACCTTGTCTGAAAATTTTGTAACTTGTCCGAATATGTCGTGGCTTTCCCGGAAATGTTGTAGCTTTGCCGCAAATATTGTAGCTTATACGAAAATTTTGTAGGCTTTACAACAATATTGTAACTTGTCTGAAATTCTTGTCACTTGTGTGAGAAGTGTAATTATTATCTGAAATTGTTATAACATGTTGTAACTTGTCTGAAAATGTTGTAACTAATCCGAAAATATTGTAACTTATCCGAAAATGTCGTGGCTTGTCCGGAAATGTTGTGGCTTGTCTGAAAGTGTTGTAAGTTGTATGATACTGTTATAACTTTCCTGAAACTGTTGTAAATTGCGTGAAACCGTTGTAACTTGCCTAAAACTGTTGTAAATTGCGTGAAACTGTTGTAACTTGCCTGAAACTGTTGTAATTTGCCTGAAACTATTGTAAATTGCTTGAAACTGTTGTAAATTGCCTGAAACTGTTGTAACTTGCCTGAAACTGCTGTAACTTGTTTAAAAAAGTTAAAACTAATTCAAAAATGTTGTTGCTTGCCCGAAAATGTTGTAATTTGACCGAAAGTGTCGTGGCTTGTCCGAAAATGTTGTTGCTTGTCCGAAAATGTTTTAGTTTGTCGGAAAACGGTGTAGCTTGCTCGAAATTTTTATAACTTGTCCAAAAATTTTTTAAGCTTTTTAAAAAGAATGTAACTTGTCTTGAAATTATTGTCACTAGTATGAAAACTGTTTGCAACATGTTTGAAAATGTTGTTACCTTTATAAAAATGTTGTAACTTTTCTGAGAATGTTGTAACTTGTCTGAAAATATTGCCAAATGTCTGAAGATATTGTCGGAGAATATTATTATATAATTATGGTATACATCATCGCAATATATCAATATTTGTATTAAATATTGTGAAACAAATTGGACAATAATTATACATCTGTGTTTTAAGATTTATTTATTATCATATTATTTACCACCAATACTAATTGAAATAGGTATATAGTTTTGCTCGAAGTATTTTATAATATAATATATTCTTAATATTCTTAACAAATAAGCAATTTTTTTCTCATATGTACATATTTATAGTTCACTTTCTTTCAATTTTGTTCAATTTTTTTTATTTTTTTTACAAAATTTATATTAAATTTTTATTTTATTCATTAATTTCAATGTATATTTTTAATTATTTTTTATATTAGTATGTATCACTTAATATTATAATAGTGATTACAGTCTAATCAAGCAGCAATTAATTGATTTTACTAGGATATAACAGTAACATATTTAAGTTATAAAAAAATCATTTTGGTATACATCAACACTCATATATTCGTCATTTAGTTAGTAATCTTACATGTTAGAATGAATATACTTACATAACTTATTTATATTATTTTTTCATATATTTTTTCCTATTTCAGCGATATTCGCCTCACGACGACTACGGCTACGGCGGTTCTACGGGGCCACCAGACAACACCTACGGCCAGGTTAGGTCTTACAACAACGATCCCAGCGATCCAGAACCTTTATTCTACAACAGCAGACCGAGGTCATACCGAACTGATTATTCCAGGTAAAACAATCAATTTTAATTCAAACAACACATTATAATTAACACGGCAACACGGTTAACATCGTTTGCTGATGTCTCTTTGTATAACGTTGCGGTGCTCAAAATCCATTATTGGAATATTCAAAATTAATTGGAAATCAGAATTACGCGTTAGGGAATGGTTTGCTGTTATTTATATGCGTGCATTTTATGATTTTCATGTAGGTACTAATCCTGTATTTAAAAATATGTTTTTGAATTTATTTATTTCGTTGTATAAATTGATACTGATTTATGAAGGCAAAAAGCTAGAAATAGATTTAAGCAGCAATTGGACAAAAAGTCAAAGCTGGTACATCATTTCTATAACTAATTTTTATAGACTCAAGTTAATTTTTATGGACATTACTTATATATAATTCAATTTCAATGATTTATTTTAATTCTATACTTTTTATATTTTTACATATTGAGCGCTTTCAAAAATTTCGTTAATTTATTGTGCTTTTTATGTTTCCCAAATAACTTGTGTGTTTTATGCACTAAGGATGAGTCAAATAGTATTGAAACGTATGGAAGTTTATCATATTTTTTTAGAAATACAATATAGTTTTGTTGAATTATCGGGATGGGTATATGAACAAAGAACTTTTTTGTTTTTATCTATAAAGTATTCAATGTCTCAAAAAACTATATATTAAGGAAAAAAGTATAGGTGACATGATATTTTTGGCATCATCGATGGATATGAATAATTTTGAACAAACTTACAATATATTAAAATAATATGTTTGAATTATAATAACCAGTGATGCATGGCATAGTACTTATGGCAAATTGCTGGAACTTTCCGTACCGTAATTTAGAATTTTTTAGAATTTTTCAGTATCAATATTTCAATATAAATTTATTTGAAATAAATAAATTTAAAATAAAATGATAATAATTTTAAAAATAGCTTTTTTTAGAAATACTGATATTTTGTGAAAACATATATATTTTTTTTGAAAACTAAAATTTTTCGAACTTTTTTTTAATTTTGAATTTTTTCGTAGGTTTTTGATACCCATTTGCTGGGACTGTTAAAAATATCAGATTTTTGACCGCAATGGCATCTTTTGTAACTTTTTTTCTGGATCTCCAAAACCACTAAACCTGCCAATGCAAAAATTTAATCAATTCTTCATTACTTCAATACAAGTATAATATTTTTCGATTAATTCAAATGAGCAAAAGCTCAATACTTGAAACAGATTAATTTTAATTTTGGTGACCAAATAGTCCAGATATCTTCAATTTTTTAGAAATTTAGAAACTTTCATTCATGCATACATATGTTTGAACATTGTTGCTGTATATAGAAATGTATTCTATTACTTATTACTTTCATTGAAGAATAAACAATTTATTGCACGGACTTTTAATTTGCGGTCGTAAATGTGGTTATTTTGAATCAAATTCAGCAATGATTTAGAATGCTTTTAAAAATTGAATTCTTGTATATAAAATTGATTTTAATTTTTTATCATCTCTATGGTAGAATGAACAATTTGTTTGTTGTCAAGTACAATTAGAGCACGATTTTCATTTTCCTGATGTCACGTATTCATTTGGAATCGTACCTACTATATCTTAGATTAGAGCAACCAAAACTAATTAAATTCGCTTAGTCAATTAATCCGGGAATTTAACCTTTGCCGTATGCTCCAAATAACGCGAGTCAAATACATAGTATTATGCAAAATGGCATGCGTAGACATAACTTTATGATTCCAAATCTTGATAATAGTTAGAATAACATTATTAAATATTTATTTTTAACTTATCGTTTTTAATTTGCTACTAGCATTGTCTATGGAACAATTAAAAAAAATATTTGATTCGTATGAGACATGGTGATTAGTTTTATGCATAAACAGGTCCAGCCGATTCGGAGAAACGGAGCAAAATGCCAAACTTGTCGTTTTTAATTTGCTACAAACGTCGTCTATAGACGACATTTTGTTGACGACTTATGTGTACGACTATCGTCCATAGATGACAAACGGTCTATCGATTTTTGCTTCAATATTCTTCAATCTAAAAATATTTTATTTAACAAGTACTTGAAAGGTTTACTGTACTTTGGTAGCAAAAGAGTGATAGATCACAATAAGTTTATAAAAAACTAAATTAAAATCAATCAATAATAAAACATACATTAAATCAATGTAACACAAATAAAAAAAAATCAGGAAAAAATCTATGGAATTTATGACCCATCTTTGGATAATTATGTTAAGGATGAATTTCAAAATACGTTTATATTTTGTCATCTTCATGCTAAGATCAGCTCTTCTTTTGTTGGTTTTCTCTAACTCGAACCCAAAATAAAGAAACTTTGAAAATCAACTACGCACTTTTGAAATAAAAATAGATCCAAACGAGCCAAAGCGAAATTTTGCTGTATGTTTATTCCTGAAAAAACTTGGATGCAAAAAAAAAAAAAAATTTTGCTTATTTATTTAATCGTGTGAAGTATGAGAGCAATGTATCTAACATCAAGTAACTCAAGTTGTTTTTAGTAAAGGATTATAATTCAAAATCTTGTTTTGAACCAAATAATTAAATTACCGAATAATTAAATTCCTTATGTGTTTACGTCACATTGTTCCAACGTCGTAGAATTATTGTAAACTTATGAATAATTATGAGGAGAAATTGAGGTATATTGTTGACCTTTGCATGTTTTAATATTATTAATTGCCAGCTGCGTATTATTAGTCCAAGCGGATATAAATGAGACTCTTAAATAAACCTAGGTCTTAATCTTAATATAATCAGAGCACGATAAAAATAAATAAATAGAAATGAAATGATATTTACATTATATACATGAATACCGAGGTTTTGGTCTCATTTATTTCAATGAACGACTTTTGGAGTATATTTTCTTAAGATTCGTTAGAGATGAATCAGGATCTGCAAAATCCTGAAATACATATATGATGTATACACACACACACACAAATATATATATATATATATATATATATATATATATATATATATTGATTGTTTCTTTTCCGAACAGTAAATTCAATAATAAAAAACAATTTTGAAGATGTTTAATACGACGTTTTGGAACTAGGTACGTTCCATCATCAGGTTTATTCTGTCAAATACAATGTTTTTTAAAAATATTGATTAACATTAATTAATGATGGTCAATACAGATTAATTAGAAAAAAAAATTATATAGGAATGCATTATGTACCGGGGTAAAGAGTAATAAGAATTAGCTAAAAAAGGTTTTATATAAAATTGATAAGCAAAAATTATTTACCAGTAATAATTTATATATCCATATCACATTTTTTTTTTTTGAAGATACCTTCATTACGCGTCATATTGTCCCAAAAATTATAAATTCAATACAATCATTTCTTTGATAGACCACGCAATCATGTTGTCTCACTCTTCTTTTCATACCCAAAACACAACATTAGTAACTAAAACTTTATTAGAAAACGGATATCCCCTCACCCTCATCAATTCCATTACCAATAAAAGACTTTCCTATCATAAAAGTAACAATTATAAATCCATCTCCAAATTATTCCAAGACAACAATATTAAACCAACTTTTCACAGCATGCCTTACATTGAAGGCTTATTTGATTATTTTGCCAAATTACTCAAAGAAGAAAATATTTTTATTTCAGGAACAGCTCTATATTCTTTTAAAGAAATGTTTTCAAAAATTAAATCTACCACCCCTCCTAAATTCAATACTAACCTAGTTTATTCCATCCCTTGCAAAAATTGTCAAAAACAATACATTGGCCAAACATCACAATACATTCATAAAAGAATGAGACAACATGAATTAAGCGTCACTCATCATAAAAGCCGAAATTTCCAAAGCACTCTTGTCCAGCATTCCATCGAAAACTCACATAATTTCACCCAATTTTTTATATAGAGAGGATTGTACTTTTAAAAGACTTTTTTCTGAAAGCAGTTTAATCTTTTTGAATTCGTCAAATAGTGTTAATAAAAGATCAGATCACAATATCATTCATGACTCATATCTAAATTTTTCAAACCTGATCAAAAACAATTAATCCTAATAATTTTTGAATATGTATATATATACATGTATATGTGTTATAACATATGCACATCCATATATGTGCTTATATGTATGTTTTTGTGTGTACACTATATACATGCACTTGCATATATGTTCATGTATATAATTGTGGATACATTAATATATAGATATGTGCATATGTACAAGGGTCATTCAACAAGTACTGAAAGTCTGAATACTCATATGAGTATGTAGGTGTCCATATGCATGTGCATGTATATATATACATAATATTTCTCAACATTTACTAAAGCAATATTTCCCAGCATTTACACCATAAAAAATCATTTTTGCCAGGAATTCCGTACGTTGTCCTTTACATCTGGCCGACAGAACTCCATATCAGTGTGTTTAAGTCTTGTGTAGTCGTAACATCTACAAATATCCTCTAAAAAATCGAGTGTTTTTAACAAAAAAAAAAAATATTAGTGATATGGATATATAAATTATTACAGGTAAATAATTTTTGCTTCTCAATTTTCTTATTACTCTTTACCCCGGTACATAATCCATTCCTTCATAAAAAAAATTTCAAATTAATCTGTATTGACCATCATTAATTAATGTTAATCAATATTTTTAAAATACATTGTATTTGACACAATAAACCTGATGATGGAACGTACATAGTACCGAAACGTCGTATTAAACATCTTCAAAAACTAAATTGTTTTTTATTATTGGATTTACTGTTCGGAAAAGAAACAATCAATATATTGAAAAAATCCAGGACTTATCTATTGAATATATATATATATATATATATATATATATATATATATATATAATATATATATATATATGAGGAAATTAAAAATTATTTGACATAACTAGAATTTCTAATCGACAGTCATGTATTTCATTTTTTATTATCCTTGAACTAAATACTTTAATCATATTTCACATCATAATTTTTATAATTTTTATTTTATATGAATTCATTTAAAATAATTATTAATAATTATCTTATAATTTTTTTAAACATATTTGCAGACATTCTATAATATATATGTTTACATGCTTCCATTTAAAGACGTCGTACACGAAAATATAATAATAGTGCAAGGTGAGAATCAACAAATTTTAGAACACCTTATAAAATTTTACTTATTGACATGCTTCCACTTACTACCCTTTAAAGCACATTTTAAAGTATCACATCATTTTAATATTTTTGTCATAGTTATCCTATAGTTCATAATTTGACATAACAATTTGTTATAATTCACAATTACAGTTCAATATCATTGCATAGTATATCTATTTAAATATTTTTATACGATACTAATTTGCACTTAAATTATTAGTTAAAAATGTAGACACACTTATATTTACAAAGTCACAAATTGACTTATTTTTTAAGACTAGTTATAAATTTAATTATATCTCAAATTAATACAAAAACACTTGTGCTCAATTATGAAGTTAAGACTAATTTATTTTAAATTTAAGAAGCAATTTTTTGTCTTAAAATATTTAAGTTATAAATATTATTATCATAAATATACATGGATTGATTTGGTTTGATTTTCATCGGATCTAATATAATTAATTATATACTTTTTTACTCATAAAAAATTGTTGCCTTATAGCAAGTTGAATTTTTGAGAAACTAGGTTATAAGATTTTTATCTTATTATTCATATTATCATATGAACCTTCGTTTATATCATTATTGTTACACAAGTGCATGATTTTTTATAATTCGCATGTAAAACATCAATTTTTTACTCGCAATTTGTTCCTCTTTGAACACAAATAATATTTAATACAATTGATTATAAATATATAATGTTGCTTTTTGCAATTTATACCATATCAGGCAAATCAATTGTTATTCATTTCATACGATTGAAATTACCATAACAAAAATTATTACAATCGAAAAATTGTTTGATATAAATTCATGCATAATTAGTTTATATTCACATAGTTTGAATATGTAATTATTTTTGCAATGATGTGGCAATATTTTACATTTTAATATTTAATTAAAATTATTATTTGCAAAATATTTTGTACGTTAATTAAAATAATCATGCACATAATTTTTGATGTTCTGTGATGTAGATAGTTACATCACAAAATTAAAATTTCAATTAGCTTATTGATTTGAATTGTATTTCAAATCACGTCGAGTGGTTTCCAATCTTTTTGTCGTTTTTCTAATTTAGATAAAGTAATGAACCATCCTTCCAGAATTGTCGTAACAATTGCAAATATATATTTTTATGAGACTTTGATTTAAATTATTTTAAATTCTCTTGAAGCTGCACAATATTTTTAAATAATTAAGTTTTTAAGTCTTTAGATTTTAATGAATGAGATGAGAGTATATGTTTTTAAATCATTCTCATATTTTTCGAATACTTTTGAAAAGCATAATATTCTTAGATAATGCACTAGCCTTAACATCTAACTAGCTTAGCATCTAACAACTTATCAATATATTTTGTCACCTAAAGTATTAAAAACACATTATAAACATAGAACACAAATTTTGTTTTTCATTTGAGTTTCATGATATTCCTTAATATTGCACTTAATACTTGGTAATTAATTATTTTATAATAATAAATCGTTAGAGTCCAATATTTTTAATTCATTGTGCTATTCAAACTATTAAAATTCCTTTCAAAGAGCACTTGTACTGTTTTTGCATTTTTTAACATCATATGTTGATAATTTAAGAACATGGTAGGTATATAACGATAAATTAAAATTTACTCCTACTTTAAAATCATCTAATCTGTCTAAATTTTAACCTTTGGGTTTTTTAAATTAATAAAATCTAGTCAATGTTAATCATTGATCTTGGTAGGTATAACTATAAGTTATTACTTTTTAATATATTCGATCTTGAAGTCCAATTGTTTTTGAAGATATTTTTCATTTGATAATAAATTATAACCTAGACTTATTTATTTTTCTATCCTTTGTATTGCCCAAAATGGAATGACCTCTTATTACATTATCCATTCACATTCTTTTTGTATCAATTTGGAATTGTAAATTTGATCAAATTGTTTCCCTAGCACTGTTTGGATTTTGTTAATGAAGTTAAAATGCACTAAACGGACAAAGATATTAATTATCTCCATGTTCCATTTGGCTGATTGTTTTGAAACTTGATAATTATTGGCCTTCTAGATCATCTTAATTTAATTCATTTTGGTCAAATCATTCCATGATAGTTCCAGAACTCATTCAAAATGAGAAAAAGTCTATTTATTGCAGTTTGATGTAAATAAAAATGTTTGAACTGACATCGACTAAAAGCCTTTAACAAAATTTGAGTTACCTGAAATTTTTATCATTTACTCGTGTTTTTTCAGTATGAACTAAATATACAACTAGTCCAAGTACTTTAGCACATTTTAAAAATAAAATCCTTTCACAGTCGACAAATTTTGAAAATTATTAATTCATAGTGCAACAATCTAGTCTTAATTCCAGAAATTTTGGCGCAGTTGTATCAATAGTCTTGACAAAATTTAAAATAAGAAAAAAAATAATTATGGCAACTGGAAAACGGTTGCAGTTTAACCAACTTTTTGTTTTTTCAGCAATTTTACTGTGATAAACAAATATACTCGTCTTAGAAAAAAAGCAAAAATTTATATTTCGATAAATACATTCCTCATGCTTACAAAACAGTGACCATTTTCTAATGGATTTAGTTTTTTTAAGTAAATAAAATATTTTCTGAAATATCAAGATGTTTAGAATATTTTGAAGCTATGACTGCATACAAAATCAGTTAAATTTATTTATTTTAACCCTTAAAACAAGTTGCATGAAAATTATATACTTATTCAATAAGAGATATTTAGAACAAAATATAGTACAGTTTCTTTTTGACCATGGCAGCGCAACTTACTCTGAGATTGATGAATATATTCGTCATAAACCCGATTTGACCAATATCAAACTGTGCGCAATGTTAGATATGAACGGCATAGTCAACTGGTTAAGACCATTTCTTAAACTAGTAATTTAAAATTTTCAACATTTGTCTACATTGAAAAGCTCACCTCTAATTGTAAGAGTATGTGCATCCGGTTCGACTCGACGTTGAGTTCTGGGACACCCTGTATGCAACTAAATTCCAAGAAATTTCATTATATCCATAACCTACTCTATCTTTCAACCCAATTTTTCTACAATTCATAAACAAAAACCTCTATTATTATTTTCCTATCAATTTCCAGCCAGCAGGAGGGTCAGTGGTACGACGGCCTAACAACCGGCGACTACCCCGGCTCGCAGAACTACGAAGATTCGCTGTATAAACAAATGCAAATTTCCGACACCGCCACTTACTTGAGCAACCAGGAACCGCCTTCGAGGAAGACGAGAGGTAAAATTTGAATTATTTATTGTTCAGGTGTTTCCGAAATGAGATTCGAGAAAATCGACTTTTATGTTTATTTTTCTCTCTTTGATGTTTCGAATGCCAAGTCGTAAAGATGAGAGAGTATTCTTGTTTTGTTCCGCCGGAAAGGTCGTAGGATAAGTGGAATTGTAGAAATATTTTTTCACTGCGTATTTTTATTATATTTAGTTGTAGGATAAATGAAATATACAAAGAATATTTTAAAAAATAGTGAAGCATGGCATCGTGCCTTAAAATAAATTGCTGGAACTTTCCGTACAAAAACTATATTTTTTTGAAATATAAACTATATAAATTTTTGAGAATTTTGAAATTTTTGAGAAGAAGTGACTTTCCTAATCATTGTCAGTTTTCTTTATTTTAATTTTTTTCAAAGTAATTGCGCTCCGTTGCTGTTTTAGAGACGAAAGCTTTAAAATCAAAAACTTTTATATCGAAAGCTCTAATATCGAAAACTCTAATATTGAAATCTCTAAGCCGCGTTGTAGTCTAACGGATAAACATTGGTACGGAACACATAAAAATATAAACAAAATTTGTACTTGTTATTAAAATTTCTATGAAATATCTCTAAGAAATATTTCTGAAAAATTTGATGTGCAAATGTCTACTGATCATTTTTTACTGCCAAATAATACTTTTTATATTTTTTTTATTGGATCTCCGAAATCGCTAGATCTGCCTTCTCAAAAATTCAATTACTTCTTAGTTTTATCAATACTAATAAAATGTTGTTTGAATCATTCAAATCAAACACTCTCAAAAACTGAAATGAACTACCATTTTTGACACTTTTTGCCCCGTATCTTCACATCTCCCCATTAATAAGAATCAATTTTTTGAATTACTCGAATCGGTTAATCCGTGTTCAAAAAATCGCCGACAAAAACTTGTATCCGCACACAAACACATACATCCATTTTCTAGGGTATCCCACAATATTCAGAAACCCTTGAGGTAAAGATATAAAAAAAACATTAGTATAATAACAATACCATAACATACCCTGCGGAAAATTAATTAATTTAAAAATGCTCTATATAATATTGATATTTCTATTCATAAGATATTAATTGTCATAACAAAAATTATTACATTTGTAAAATTATTTGATATAAACTCATGCATAATTAATTTGATTTTTATTTTCATTGTTTGAGTATGTAATTATTTGTGCAATGATATGGCAATACTGCATATTTTGATATTTAATTAAAATTATCGTTTCCAAAATAATTTCTACATTAATTACAATAATTATATACAAAATATTTGATGTTTTGTGATGCAGTATTGCTGATTTATCTTACAGATATTTTTATTTATATGAATATGATTCGGATTTCAAATCATGTAAATGTTTTTGATAAGAGATTTACAATTTATTCGCATTATTTTACATTTTAACTTAAACACGTTTCTTAATATTTTTTAGGATTTCCAAAATAATAGCAAATCTATTTTTTTCTTTAAATTATTTTAAAAGCTCTTTCGAAAACTCTATAATCTGCGCAATATTTTGGTACAATCAAATACATTTGTGACGCTTGAACATGTTCATTTCATACCAAATTTTATTTTCATTAGCATACCAAAGCTTTTAATACGATATGAATTTAACAATTTTTATAATTTTGTTTGTTTATATCAAACAGTCATCCAGAATTTTTTTGGGGAATAAAATCAGATTTTATTAATATTTTTTCCTTTATCAAATTCTACCGATAAAATGAAAAACACATTTTTCAATATTTTTTAGGATTTTCAAATTAATTGCAAATATATATTTTTTTAAATAATTTTAAAAGCTCTTTCGAAAGCTTTATAATCTGCATAATATTTAAATACATTTTATTCCATTTGTGACGCTTGAATTTTTTATTTTACACCAAACTTTATTTTAATTATTAAACTAAAACGTTCAATACAAAATTAATTCACTTAACAATTCCTATACATTTAATTGTTTATATCAAGCAGTCATCTAGAATTTTTTTGGGAAATAAAATCAGATTTTATTAATATTTCTTTATCATTTTCCACCGATAAAATGAGTTTACTTTGCACCGTATACCTTAGTATTTTTTTAATTTTTTGATAATCAATAACAATTCAATCAATAGTATAATTGCCGTTATTATCCATGGATATTTTGTTTGTCTCCTTTGAAATTTACATTTAGAACTATTTCATTATGAAAACATACGCTTTGGTAACAAATTTTATTTTAAATTAAAATTAAATAAACTAAATTTTATAATGATAATATTAAATTGCAATTAATTATTACCGGAAATTATTCAATGGTTTACTCAAAAGTATTTACTTAAATACATGAATCTTCATAACTAATTTTATTCTCCAATCAATGGGGTTTGTTTCGCCCACGAACAATTGAATGCAAAATTTGATGAAATCATTGTCAGTTATTAATTTACAAGAGATCTTTCGGGAATTAATTTATACCGCGTTTTCTCTTGCTGAAAGATTTGATCCTGATTAAATATTCAATTGAGTATGATCTGTCTGTGCCGTTATAATTCTTTGTGCAAATATTATGTCAGGATCCGTGAATTTTGGAATGCTTTTTGGGGGTTGTGGATAAACTAAAAGCGATCTGGTAATGGAATATGATAAGTTATAAATTATATATGTGGTAATATTACTGGTACAAAATTTAAATGTTTATATCATGATATTACTACTAAAAGTATGCAAATAGTTATATATTGACACCCTAAAGTTGTCTCAAAACCAACATATGGTATTGACACCCTACTATATGTAGGTTTTGAGACAACTTTCGGGTGTCAATATACAAGTATTTACAGACTTACATCTGGATATCTAGAATTCCGAGATTCTTACCTAATTTAAGCTTAAATTACTTAAATTAGGAGATTAGTTTTGATCAAAGGCAGATCATAAGGCAAGGCAAGAAATAAGTTTGTGAGAGAACGAAGCGTCTAATTTGAATGATTCAAAAAACATGTGAATTTTATTGATGGATTAAAAAGTCGACTAAGTTTTGGGAAATGACGGTCTAGTGATTTCGAAAATCCTGAATAAAGTTTAAGAAATGCTACCTGGTGGTGAAAAATGATCATTGTACATAAGCACAACAAATTATCAGATATTTATATAGATAATTTAATAATAAGTACAAATTTTATTTGCATTAATTTGGGTTCCGTACCAAAACTTTTGATTTCTAAAGTGCACTTATATGCTTCAAACAAATGTACTAGATATTTTCTATAGTATGGAATAACCTTTACCACCTAAGACTACAAAAAAGAAGTTATAGCAAATTTTTGCATGACATTATTTAAAAATTTAATGCAATAACAGAAAATAGAAGTTGCTATCATACAATAGTTATCCATCACACGCCATATTTTTAAATTATCTATAATTGTAGCTAAGTATACTAATTGTGTAGATTGCTATGAACAGCAAAACAACAAAAATGGAATAGAACAATTGATTTGAATGATTCAAAAAAGACTTGGTTCGTACTGACGTCAGAACTTACTAGTTGGTTTTTACGCAAGGCACGCCTAGCCGTTTTGGAGGTACAAAGCGCAAATGGTGTAAAAATTGTAAAACAGTTTGCAGGAGAACGGATCATCCGATTTGAGTGATTCAAAAATTTTTTAAAAAATATTTTACTTGTCTTAACTGTGTGAAGAAATACTTGTTCAAACAATTTTGAAATTTTAAAATAAAAAAAAATCCAACAACCAAAAGTGTTTAACTTTGGGTGTATCAGCTCTCCTACTAAAGTAACTTTTTCCCTGACATTACGAATACCCTTCGTCTCCTTGTTGAAATTATTAATGCGATATTTGGAGAAAGGCGAAAGGGGGAATTGCGAGGAAAAGTTTTGTTCGTACGTGACGCCGCATTTTAATAATCGTGTTGTACAGAGCTCGTCTAGTATATATATGTATGGTATATGAAAATATAGAAAACAAAAGGTAGACAGTCGTATGAATTCTATAGTCCTAAATTTGAAGGAATGAAGTTAAATAAAAGTAATCTTCCTTACGCATTATAAGAAACATTTGCACATTGATATGTTGCTCATTTGCTATTATTATATTAAAAAAGATAATTTAGATATTTATTTTTTAAAATTATATTATAAATACTAATCAAATTAACACAATTTTGTAGGCTGTTATGATTAAAATAATGTTATTTAATAAAATGCTGTATCATTCTTGTTAATTTTTTTTTTAATTAAGACTAAGACAGGTCGTTCGACAATGTTTTCTTATAGATAGAGCATTCAGAACTAGTAACTCCTTTGAACGATCCTCAGTTTTTGTTATATGAATACTGATTCTGTATTTAATTACTTGAACTTTGTGGTCGTTATGATTGGTAACATTATAGACGTGTCAAAATGTATCTGCAATTTTTTTTACAAATTTTGATCATTTTTTTCTCCACAAGTCTGCACGTGATATTTGATATATGAAAACTTTGTTTTTTTTAATGGAAGTTTTGATTATTTTTTATAACTCCTGTTGAGATGAGTTGTGTCAAAAATCTTGATATGTAGTTAAAATAATGTTTAATGATAAGGTAATGACTGTTCTCGTGATTTGAAAGAAAGGCGAGAAACGAAGAAATTTATTTTGTCTTCACAATAAAGAATGCAACTTAAAAGCAACAATTATATTTATGCGTGATTATAATGAATAAAATAGCTTTCGATATATTTCATAACTTTTGTTATAGATCAGATTTTGTAAGAATTTTGGTCTATTGAAAAAGCTCAACTTATTACACAAAATGTAATTTATTCTATTTACTCATTTATGTATAAAAGTGTACATGACAGATTTATGCATCTTCTCAAAAGTTGTTTTGAATTTGTCAACAACTTTGTCTTAGCTGGATCTAATATTTCTCGAATCTCGAAAATAATAAATGGCATCGATTGGTCTTTAAATATTATTATTTAGTTATAATTATATATTGCTATTTATCTTATGTTTTGTTTTGATATCAAACTAATTTAATTCAATTTGTAGTATCGAATTCAAGAAGACCTAGCCTGGAACGCCAAGAAACTATATACAATGAATACAACGTTGCCTACATGACTAACACCAGGTAACTTATTTATTTATTATTAATAAATAAATAAATATGAATATATATTAATTATTAATAATTATGTATATATTCATATCCAAGTAATCGACAATGATAAATTACACTGTAATTTTACATACTTATTTATAGAAATAAGTCTCACATAAGTATCAATAAATAATTCTACAAAGTCAATAAATCTAATGGATTACCCTTTCTAGAAATATTTTATTTTTTCAGTTTCTACATAATAAATTATTTGAAGTTCAATGTCTAAAAAGTATACTAATATTTGGAATATACATTATTTGTGTGAACGATTTTAACCCGCGTCTGCGATTACGACATTCGTGAAATATATTTGAATAAAAAATGAATTCAAGTCTGGCGAAATATTCGAAGTAAAGTTTCACTAACTGTATTTTAACCAATAAATTTCCGATTCTTATTTCAAAAATTATCATTATCAATAATAATTACATTTAATATTTTACGTACAATATTTATGTTAATATTTTTACTTAACATGTGTTTCTCCTCAAATTCTAATATGTTGTAAATTTTCAAAAGGAAAGTTTTACATGAAAAGCATTGTCCATTCTTATAAATGTTTCTTAACGTATTGTTTCCAGCAAACTATTTTGTAATATAGTTATAAAAACTTGTTTTTAACGGAAAATCTGATGTGGTAATAAAATGTCTACTAATTAAGTAAAATATTTGGTAAAAACATAGAACAAATATATTGTATAAAATTCATTTCATGAATAATACTCTAATCATTACGTTGCCAATTATAAATTAGAAACACCAGGTTTTTATGCAATCATTTAACGATTAGAAGTAATACATGATACATGGTTTAAAATGTATTTATTTAAACATACAACTCCTAACACATCTCCAGTGCGAATATATACAAATAATCAAATGCAATAAACATCAATATATAATTTTATGAAAATATAGTTTCTAAAGAAAATATAATACAATAATTATGAATACATATGACATATATGTATGGGCAACAAATTGCGGTTAATGAATCTGTGAACTTTAACATTCTCTGCCATAATTAAATTAATTCAAAATTATAAGTATAAGTCAGTTATAGATATAGACTATTATACCATTTTTACTTTTTTTCACGATTTAATTACTTTTTTATCTATATCTAGTTACGATGGAATGGGCTACCCGACTGGTGTGAGTGAAGAACACCGCCAGTGGGACAGTGGAGGAGGTCTTACTGCGCCGGCGGTCAACGGTAAATGGAGGGCGCTGCCGGAACCACCGGTGGCGGACGTGTTCGATAACCAATGGTCTTCGAGAGTTCCGAGAAGGCGCAGTGGTTCCGTTTGTGGAGCCAGGTTGCCAAAGACACCAGCCGAATTAACTCAGGACGATTCTTTTAGGTAGAAGATAAATGAAAAATTTAAGTCTGTAATAAGTAATGAAAAAATCTATAAAAACTAAGGTGGTCTTTAATATGGAGATTTTGTTTATTTCAAGAGACTCATCTCTTAATATTAAACTTTAAGATAGTCCGCACTTCAACCAATATTTTTTATGCAAATAACCTGGATAAAATTTTATTTGTTTTATAGAATTTTATAACTTAGCGACAAGTGAATCAAAATTTTGCCAATGATATAGTATTTGCTTATTTTATACATAAATAACAAAATACAACAAGCACTTGATATATTTCATAAAATAAGTACTAAGAAATGACTGGAGGACGGACTATCTCAAAGTTTATATTAAGGGTTAAAACTTTCAGAATTTTTTTTTACCAATCTGAAAGCATTTGAGCCTTAGGAGCAAACAAATTCGAAAATATTTATAATAAGGATTACCCTAATCGATATTATTAAAAGCGATATGTATTGCTAGCAAACACATTCGTGTACGTTTTCTTCAAGATTTTATATAACTAAACATTATTGCAAAATTTATTAATTCAAATTATGGAATTTCAATGCTGGTAATTAGATTTAATCTTAATATAAATGATATTAAGATAAATTTTATTTAACTAGTAGCTGATGTTTTTCTAGCCATTATCATTTATGTCAGTAAATTTATGCAAGCATACGTATAATAACAGTTTACCTTGAAAACAAAACATTACAATTTGATTAAAAGTTGTAAAAACAACTATTTTCTTCGTGGATATATATCAATTCCCTTCGTTAGATTCTCAAAACTTATGATAAATTATATATATTTATATGCACAAATGTTCATACTCTCTGTCTTCAGGGGACTTAGAGCTTAATACAAAAATGCCATGTTAAATCTCGATGAAATAGTTTGAAATTTTATGAATTTAGGCACTATGAATTTCAATTAGAATAATTTTGATATTATATGTAGTAAAAATAAAAAAATGAACCACTCTTAAACTACAAATAATAGTACTTATTTATAAAATATAGTAAAATAGAATATTTTAATAATATCAGGAAATCTTCAAACAAATTTTTTGTAGGTGACAAGAAACAAACATAAATAGAAATAAAAAGTGTATCCAAAAGTCAAAGAACATCAAGCATTTCACTGTTCAGGCATAAGATGAAAATTATTGTGAGCATAAAATAATGTAATCTATAGGGGCATATCAATAATTACGTATTTAATTTTTTTAGTTTATTTTTTGAGTTGAAAGTTAGTTTTCATTTATATTCAAGCCACGTATAATATTTTCTCAATAGTTAGAGCATTGTGACGTCACCATTCTGGTAGCCAATAGTGGCGCGTTCACAGTCACTTGTCTTTTTTTGAAATTTTATCAATTTTGTAACGATTATAATTATGTGAATTACTTTTTTAATGAAGTTTTAAAACATATAAAAATAATTAGTTTTTTTCTCAAATTCTTAATTACTGATTAAAATGATTACTGAATAAATTGGAATCATATTATAATATAATGTCCTCAATAATATTCAAATCAGTTAAATGACATTTTTATACACAAAGTTACATATTCTATTATTTTTTAGTTCATTACTCATTTACCTTTTTCTCACAATACGTTTTTTCCTTTAGTGCTACGGAGTACACGGACATAAGCAACATCACCTACCCAAGTTACCCTGCAACCGTGCCAACGCAGCGCCGCAAGTTGCCGCAGGCGCGACCGTCAAGTCGCTGCTCCAACATTGCAGACTATGTTATGAACACGAACGATGTGACCATATCGCATAGAGGAGCCAGTTTACCGGCGACTCCTCCTTGTGGAACACCTACTAGGAATAGAAGGTAATTAAGTGGTGCATAGCATCGTGCCTTAAGGCAAATTGCTGGAACTTACCGTACCACAATTAAATATTCGAGCAAAAAAAATTAATAATCAATAAATATTGATCAATGATTAATAACAATTGTTTTAAATATTTTCAAATAAATAATTATAATTACTATATATTTATTCGTTCATATAATACACAGTGACAGTTTTACCACTCAAAACACTTGAAAATGCTTTCATTAAGAAGAAATGCTAAATGAATCCATCTTATATTTCTTACGCCTACGAAATATATTTGAAGTATAAAGCCTTGTATATTTTTGAAAATTGTTTTTTTTTTCTGAAGATTGTGAAATTTGTTTGAACCGTAAAAGAGAACTTTAAAAATTGAAACTTAAATATCTTGGTATGGAACCAAAAAAAATATTATAAAATTTCTTCTAATTATTGAAATATTTAAAAAATATCTGATAATTTCACGTGCATATGTCTAATGATCATTTTAAACTGCCAAATTTAATTTTTTTTACAAGATATGCACAAATTGTCATTTTTTCTTTTTTTACGATTAATATAACTAGAGAAGTTAACAAAATGTTGGTGGTATTTGGCCTGAAGGCAGTTAGCATGGATTACCTGGTACCTAAACTAGAATCGAGTTTGTCAAAAAGAATAGAAATCTATTAGAATATGATAAAGGTTTTTTGGATTTTAATTATCAGAAAACCACTGTTACTTTTCAAAGACTGATTTCGACATATTTGATTGTCCTGACAAGAAAACGTGGGTGCAAAATTACTCCTTAATGTGTTAACTACACAAAAAAATAACTATATAATTATAACCATACGCTTATATAACTATATAAGAATGACATTTTTGAGAAAACCCTGAATAGTTTTCACAAATATCTAATAAATATTAATACATATTGAAACCCACCAAAAGTCTCTATTGCAGAATTTCTAATATTTGGTTGACAGTTTTACTAACAAAAAGGATACGACATTTCTTTGCGAAAAGCTAACCAGCATAATTACCTAATTCTACGATTTTTGAATTGATGTAACTGATTCAGAATTTAGGGGAATATCTTCAAGCAAAATTGTTGACATAACATTGGTTACAAAAAAAAAACGGTTAGAATTTTATTACTGATAAATTAAAAAAAAAAGTTTCATATCTGGGATATAATAAGAAACTTTCAAATTATTAAACGATTTATATGATATAGGCAAACCGTATTTTGCATTTGGAAGAATCGATGAGTTAAACTCTTGAAAATTTAGACATTATTAGAATATTAATTTCAAAAAAGTAAATATATTTATTAAAACAAATTATCTAGCCTTTATTATAAAAGTATCGAGTGCTTCTTAAATTTTTGAAACTAAGAGCATAATTATTTTAAATGTGTCCATATTAATATTGACAATAACTGACATTATTCAGTGATTTTTATTCAAATTTTCAGCCTCAGGGATTATATATATATATATATATATATATATATATATATATACATATATATATATATATATATATATATATATATATATTCTTATAATGTCTGAACCAATAAATATTCCATGAAAATGTACATCGTACTACGAAGTTAGTGCAGTTTATAATTTTTCATAATATTATGCTCATACTTGAAATGCTTGCAGAACATTTATCAGTTGATTTTATTTGTGGTTGTAAGTTGAATAAAGAAACTCAATTAATTCATTTTGAAATTTTATACCATACTTATTCAATGTTGTCATCTGAATGATATTAATATTTCCAACTAATAGTGAATAACTTGACACATTTTTGAAACACTTCAGATCAGTCTAGTTTTAGAATCGGATATTTTATTTTCAAAAAATTCTTATAATTTAATAACTCGTAAATTAATTCTTCAATTCGCTCTTGTAATTTTGTCGATATTAAGCTGTCATGATTGTTATCAAAATCTTAAGTCAAATATTATGGCAAAAGTTTTATCATTCATAAAGATTTATGTGATACCTGCTTTTATTATAAGTATGGCTTTTATGGAACTAAAATTTCCCAAGCTTTGATAACGGGTTATTACTTTTACGATTTATTATATTATACCATCATACCTAAACTAAATAATGCTTTGATATTATATATTTAATATACCACAAATGTTATAAAATATATGATTTTGATATAAATTTAAATATTAATTTTATTTTCAATTTTTTTGTAAAATAAATAATAACTTGCAAAAATACACCCATGCGTTTATTTGACTATAACTCGTTAGAGTTACTAATAAATAATTAACTAAAATAAGTTATTTTGGACAACTATGGAATAATTGATTAGATATATCGTACAGTGACATTTATGAAGGCTATTGACACATTAACTAAATTGACTAAAAGAAATTCAATGATATAATTACCGATAGACGTATTTGCTTTCAAGGCAAGGTCAGAAAGGTCCCCCAGTGTTTTGGGTTCATTATTGGTTTATTTCAATTAATAGAGAAAGAAATACTAATGTTAAGTACATTTTGTCGGTAATAGTATTATCATTAGAAAATAATGCCCTAGAAATGAATAATATATAATGGAAGTTATACTATAATTGCAATAGAAAATTATTCTATTCATCTTTGAATTATTTATTCATCTATGACATTAATTAAAATTATCAATAAACCTTACTGCTTAATGAACAATAAATACATATTGAAATGTTTTATAGATCTAATAAAAATAGACTTTTAATTATTTATTCACTTATACCATTAATAGTTCATATTTATCGATACCGAAATGGTAGCTTTGATTTTTTTGTATTAGCCACATATATATACGTGTACTTTATATCATTTTAATTTTAAAAAGATTGCATCTATGGAATTTTTCTGATAAAAAATTAATTATAATTGGTCAAAGAATTATTAAAAACCGTTAATTGGAGAGACCAATATATTAAGAGCTGCATTTAATAAACTAAATCAAGATATTAATTTTATTTATTATTAATAAAATATTATTAAAAATTAAGCTATTTCGTAGTGAAAAATCACCAAATCTTCCATCTACACAATGATGAGATTTGTTATAGTGTTATAATTAAGCTGGTACCAAGTAATAATTGATTAAGTAATTAAATATTAATAATGGAAATAAAACTCTTTATAAATTTATTGCGAGAAAAACTGTTACTGGTTGCACTTCAGATGCAAATCTTATGACATTACCAAATAAAAATTATTTTTGCTGGCTGCATTAAATTGAAAACGAGTAGTTTTCATACTAAACTTCCTCGATTTTAGTTGAATTCTAATCCAGCCTACAGGCCGACAATATATATTTCATACGAATATAGACTCGTAACATGGCATTACCATAACATCACTATTTTATTCGAGAATAAGAAACATTATAATTATAAAATTATAAATTAATATTTATTTTAGGTGTCTCCCTCGAACAACAACCCCAGGAGGCAGACGTCTTCCCCAAATAACACCAGGAACTCGTCGAGGGCGCGGCAGAAGGCAGTATCAATTAAAACGAAATGCATCTGCCGAACAGTCGGAAGATGTACCAGATTATTATGATCGATCTGGTGCCATGTCAGCAATTCCTTATAATGAAGACTATAATTATGCATACAACAGTAGCAATGACAATCTAGAGGATCAGATGCTGGATAAACCAGTTGCGGCGGTGACGCCTGCAAGGAGACAAGGAGGGGCTGCACTTCCACAGGTTCCTCAGGTATAAAATGAACTAAAAATACTACAAAAATATTATAGTACTAGTTTATGATAAAATAATTTCATTATCTAATAGCTAGTTTTAAGTGTTCTGAATTGTTGGATGTTTGGTACACTAGTTTGTACTTTATTTACCAATTTTCAAAGTTTTACAAAACTCTACATGGGGAATGAAAATATCAGTTACTTTGGTTAATATATAACGAAAAACATAAATAGACTATTGAAATACTAAACGATAATAATTTAATTTACAACCTTCATTTTCCTTTTACAACTCACACTTTTTCATCATTTCATCACAATCCAGTTTCTTAATACCAGGCTCGCAGGTTGACTAAATGCAGATTTTAATTATAAGTAATATAAAAATAACAATTTTCTATAAAATAATGAAAGTATTATAGGAAGATATTATTATTATTATGTATAACATCAATAAAGAGATAATGATGTTGAAATAATAAACTCATAATATTATAACGTATTTTTAGATAAAAAGTAAACATAATTTCAATTATGAACAATTATGTTTTGACTTATCTGAACCAAAATTTATCGACGGATCTATCTGCAGCATTTTTCCATTTTATAAACAATTCGATATAATAAATAATAAATATGATATGCAATCTTGCTAATAAATTTTGGCTTATTTTTGGACAACTTGGTTTCCAAGTAAAAGTAGCACATAATCGACTTTTGCAATAATATGATGAGATAAATTATATCATCACTCTTATAAAAAGGATAACTATTGGGTTCTAATATAAAATTATATATAAGAGATAGGTCAACCACTTTAGAAAATACATATTGCTTTAGAAATTACATATTGTATTGTAGATGTTCCTTAATTTTAATTGCTGTTTAAAAACAATCAGCAAATTTTTATTTTAGGGTTTATTTAATATATTCAAATCTTTATATAAATATTAAAGTATTTTAACCAGTTTACTGCATTTGACGAGTATACTCGATAATAAAAAGTGCCAGAAATTTGTGTAATAAAGAGTATATTACATTAGTGGTATATTTTACCTTGAGTCAAATTACTTAAATTTTTTGAAATGTGGAATCAATATATATAATCAACAAGAATTGGAATTTAGATATTTAAATAGCAATTTCTACTGTTCATTTTGAAAGTAGATTTTGCTTTTTATACATTTACATTTGTTATATTTTATAGAATTTGATTTGTTCTCAGTTAAATAAAAACAGTAAAATGTAAGCTCATTTTTTTTATCTAATATCTTAGCAGAGCAACTTACTCTATGATTGACGAATATAGTCGTCATAGGCTCGATTTAAATGGCGCGAAACTGTGCGCTACATTTAACTGATATAAACCAATTGCAATAATACTTTCCAAAAAATCTGTATATTTTATTTTTGTTGTTAGTGTATTAATTCATTAATGACGTTTATTTTCCCAGGTACCCGCATATCAGCCTCCTCCAGAGGAAACTTACTACAGTGCCCAAGAAGACTATAGTCGTCCTCGTCTAGGAGGTCGTAAAACGTACTTCGAGCAACAAAACACCGATTCATTAGAATCCAGAGACGACGATTTAAAAGCAGATTCATTTGACACAGCTTTTTCCAGTGTCAGTACTGCATTTTACAAAAACCAGGAATTTCAGGAATACAAAGAAGAATATGACAAACCATCAGTAGTGACTACGAGCGCCCAACAGCAATATTTTAGGGACCAACAAGATTATCAGCAACAAGTTACTACTACGTCGTCGACTCTGCCACATGTTTCAATGAACGGTAATAATTGACAGTTGTTTTTATTTTATTTATTTATATTAATCAAAATCAACTGGTATTCTATTAGTAACAGAGCTAATTAATAATGAAAACTTTACTTTGATAGTGAAAACTTCAAAAGTCAACTAACTCTTATACATACATTAAACAGTATGTGTTAGAACAGCTACGTATAATTTTATTTAGAATTTCTGTGATAATGGCAAAACTAATTTATATAATTCATAGATATTTTATAATATCTATGAATTATATAAATAATTTATAGTTTGAAATTTATAGATAAATGTACAAAATAACAATATAATATTTTTTAATATTATTTTATAAATCAAATTATTTACTTTTTTTACATCTATTAACATGTTAGACGATTAATATTAGATCTTTTTGAAATCTTATAAATTGCCGAATAATTTGATAATATTTTTTAAATTCAATTTAGCTTTTGAACAACGTATGATTTTGGTAAAGATATTTTCTGTGGGTTAATATATGGTACAATTTAATAAATTATAAATCTTTGCTTAACTTATTTTATTATATTATAGCTATTTAAATTTTACTTAGCTTTGATCCACTCTGAAAATATTAAAATTTTTGTACGTAAAACTTCAATTTATAAGCTTTAATAATCATTGCAATGAAAAATTGGTAAGAACCCTTTTTTGGAATAATCATTCAGTAACTTATGAATACCAATTATAAAATTACTCTCAATCCATTTAAATCAAACAATTTGACTGAATCATTTAATTAGAAAACATATATTTTATGAAGGCTATGTAGATACTAGTATTTAATGAGAATTCTTCAAAAATTTCGAATTTATTTTATATATTGAAAACATAAGTCAATATCTTTTGAATTAGAATTGCTCTGAGAAAACCAATAAGTTAAAAAATATATTATTTGATATGTTAAAATATACTCAATGTTAAAAATAATATTCTACTTACAAGTTTAAAAGATTAATGGCAAAAAAATTTTCAGACCATAATGTTCAAGTATATAAAATCAGATTTTTTACTAAATATTGTAGTATTTATAAGAACTAATTACAAAATTACTTTAAATTCATTAAATGCATTTTAATACATTTAGATAACAATTGCTCAGGAAATAGTAATAGATGGCGAAAATTTGTCAAATATATCGAATTTATTTTGCATATTAAAAATTTCAGTATATATTAAAAATTTCAAATGCAATATATTAACATTTTTATCACATCATACATGATACTATTTTCCTTTTTATATCATTGTCCTATTAGAAATTTGGTCAACTTTTGATGACATAAATTGCTAAATTTTTTATTAAATTTAATTCTCATCTGATTGTTGGAACATGACATAAATAAAATAAAATAATGCATATCTTAAAATTTTAATATTGTTAAAGATACTCGGAACTTCTAATTCAGAAGTTATTATAACATGTAATCAATTCCAGATAAACGTATTGAATATAAATTAATAAGTTCTAAAATGCTGCGTAGTTGATACTAGCTATCTGACATAACTTTAGTACATTCTTAAAAATATGCACAGCTATTGCTCAACTCTTAATAAAAAATTAACTTATAAAAAATAAATTTCACCTTCAAGTATAACTAAATCCAAGAAAAAACCACTCAATCAAAAAAGTGAAAAGGTATTGCTCAATATTTAGGAAAAAATTAACATAATAAAATAAAGTTGACGTTTAAATTTAACTAAATCATTGTCTGAAGGATAATGCTTAGATGTGCAGTTTGAGATACTTAACAAAATATATAATTTAATTTGTAATGAAACGTATAAATTTCTCCACCAAAGGTTTATTTTCCATTCATATTCTTTTTTGATCTTCGATTTTATAATAAAAGAGAATTAATTAAATATGTTATTTATTCTTCCCAGGTACTATTACCACAAACAGCAGACTACAAAACCAACGTGGTATGCTCCGGCAGCAAGAAACAATAGACCGAGGCGACTACCACGAAGACGAGTTAGACTACACAATCAACAGTACGAAAGGTTACCTGGACAAACAGGACTCTGTAACAAGTTACATCGAAGAAACAACTCCTTTACAACCTGGTGATTACAATAGCAATAAAAAATCGACGTTGAACCGCGATTCGCCGTCATCGGTAATACATATCAACGAGAACAGTTTAATAGAACCGTATCAAAGTGAAGTGATGGACGATAATTACGGGTCTGATGAGTATGCAAAAGACGATTATGGGGAAAAAGACAATTATTTAGGTTCGCCGCAAGTGAAATCCCCGCCTCAGAAGGATAATGGATACATAACCTCACCGCCACATAAAGATAATGGTTACATAACCTCACCGCCACATAAAGATAACTACATCACATCACCGCCACATAAAGATAACTACATCACATCACCGCCACATAAAGATAACTATATTACATCACCTAAAGATGCATATGTGTCATCACCTCCTCGTAAGGACAGTGCGGACGATTACCTTGATACGGAACCTTACGAGGATGTTCACGAACCGTCGGACGTTTATATCGAGTCGCCGCCGCCGCGTAAGCCGTCGCCTCTTATCGAAGAGCCGACGCCGGTTGAGTCGCCTGCCGCCGCCGACGAGGCGGACAGCGAGCAGGCGACCGAGAAGAAAAGTGTTTCCTTCGAAGAAGAGGAGAAGGTTGTTAGGAGGGAAGTCACGGCGAAGCAGAGGTGGCATTGGGCGTACAATAAGATTATACTGCAGTTAAATGTAAGTCCGATTTTATTATTATACTTGTTTCAATGTTCTCATAGCCCGGACAATTTAAACCTAAAATCAGGGTGAAGGTTACAATAATTTATAATAGGCTGTGACTTGGTAAAATTGCTTAAAACACAATTATAAAAGAAATCTCAAAAGTTCCCAATTTTTTAGCTTGCACCGGTACGATGAGGTCTTATAAGATTTTTTTCATAATTGTTTTTAAGCAATTTTAAAAATTAATGCGCAATAAGTAAAAGGACTGGACGTACGTATTATCTGGATGTACGTCTCTGCAAATAAGGTTGATAAAATAGTTTATATACATACGTAAAATTTTTAAAGATTCTGCACCCCATTAGTCGTATTAAGGATATAAATTGATGGGCTAATTCTGTGGTAACATAGCCTACAACACTGCGTTGTTATGGCAACGCTATGTTATGCTTGTTTCTTGGTAGTAAAAACTGTGAAAATATCTAATTGCTGTACGATCGTTTTACACATAAAACCGTATGATATAAATGCGCATCACGATCATGCAGTTATCATAACATTCTTTCTTGCTTTGTTTATATGTAAAATCCACCGGATCCCACAGCAAACTGATAGCATTTTCACAGTTTTTACTACCAAGAAACAATCATAAGATAGCTTTGCCATAACAACGCTAGGTTGTGAGATGCTTTACAGCATAATTGAACAAAGAATTTAAATTCTTTATTTGTTGATACGTTTTTAACATTTGGGCCAGCGATTGCAAAATCGATCAGTGCCTGGTCTGGTTTAAATTATTCCTGGGTTTGCTGGTTTGATTTCATTCACTGGCAAGTCCGACATCAGGCTTTGAAGTCCGACATCAACTTTGAAGTCAAATTTCCACTTGAGGTTATAGATCTCAAGTGAAAATTGCCCCTCTTGGGTAAAGCTGCATACAATCATAAAATGTCAACAAATGCTATGATCATAGTTAATTAGCCACAACTGGATTAGACAACTACTGGGTTGCCTTGTCCTTGTATTATAGATTGTAATTAAAAATATTTTGGTCTTTTTCTGGTTTAGGAAACTCATGTTCGAAATCGAAACGTATGGATAAATAAAAAATTGTAATTAAATTTCATTTTTCAACACTACCTTGAATACCTTTTACATCTAAAATACAATCAAAATCTGCAATATAAAAAATACGTTGATTAGTATATTGATTAATAAAATTATTACCAAGGAAAAATTAAAAATCATATGATGTTTTTAGACATTTTCGCATAGCTGAACAACCAAATAGATTTTTGGCTCTTATTATCTCTAACTATTTTAAGTGTTATACTTTGGGATGAATTCTTTGCTTTCAATAGTAAAGATGTCAATAATATAAATAGTAATTAATTAGTAATAACGTGATGAATTTTTCACATTATGTAGAATTGACTCATTGAACTTTTAGGTCAACTTATTTATCCGTGTAAATTTCAACGCCATAAAATTAGTATTTTTTGTACATTATAAGTAAAAAAAAATATTCTTAGATAAAAAAAGGACAATGATTTAGTTCAGAATATAATTCCTTCTCAAAATGCACGATATGTCTTTTGGCTAACTCAATAGCTTATATAATGCGAATGGTAGAAGGTTAAACAATGCGAATATCATCGTGATGAGGTTTAACTTTTCTAATTTTTGACGGATATTTAAATCTTCTGGGACAAGATAAAATACGTCTCAACTTTTTTTTCAAATCTTGGAAAAGAGTTCAAAATGAAATTATGTCACTACGAAATACTCTCCAAAGGATTATATTAAATTCATCCTTTTTAAATGTATATTTTGTTAATTTTTAATTAAATTTATTATCCTTAAATTATGATCTGAATAATTTTTATCCAAATGTAGAAGTTTTAGGGTTTTTTTTTACCAAAATGGGGCTTAATACGAATATGTGGTTTTCTCAGAATTGAATAATATGTTATTTGAGGTTTCACTATTCATAATGATATTTTTTACCAGTACTGTAATGTTATCTACATGATCATAACAATTTTGTTGTTCTGTTTACGATTGTTGAAAATAGATGTACATATTCGAATAACATACCTAATGTAGGTGAACTTTCTACTTAACCCACAAAAAATGTCATGTACCAAAATATACTAAAGTCTTTTAAATATCGCTTTGTTACTTGTTCTTGAAAATGTTATGAAATGATGAAATTAATAATTTTTAAAGACAATAAATTGCCCTCTTTATTTGCTAGGTTATTATACAAAACAATAATTTAAAATAAATTGGTTTTTATCCAATAACCCAAGTTAATACCAAGATAAAATATAAACCCCAGGTATAGCTTTGAGCTATATTAATAGAATTTTTTTTTGCATCCAATCTAATTTAAATTTAAAGTTAGTTAGTGATGTTTTGGGATTTGAGATGACCTCAATCTGATCGTCCTTGTGTTATCTGCTCATCTTTAGGTCACCTAGTAAAACACTGACTTTATATTGTGAATGCGGGCAAGGTCTTTGAACATTGACATATGTTTAATACGGGTATTCAATATTCTCCAAATAAGTAAATAAAAAAAAATTAGTTTGTTCCTATATTTTATATCATTATTTTTAATACCGTAATTGATTTCTTTTTCAATATGTCAGTATTAGCTTTCATGATGTGACTATAATTTTTCACTATTTTATTACATACTAGTCAACTACTACAATACACATAGTATTGAAGTGATTTGTATTAGTAAAAAAATAATATTATTGTATTAAATTTCTATACACTAGGCTATTTTGAGAATATTCATTTCGTTTTTTAAAATTCTCTCCTTGTAATAAAATAGTTCGTAATGTGAAATATGCAAAACATAATTAAATCACAAATACTTGAAAGCAAATATTTAGGGAACGGTTTGAATCTCTTATTTTTTGTTATAAAATTCTATTATCAAATCGAGTTCTACATTTTGCATATACAATTAGCTCATTACAGTAAAATATGTATCTTGGTTTTGTTCACCAAGATATTATTTATAGGTCAAACCGAGCCAGGTTACCCATTCAACTGATAAATGGGTAATCAGCGTGTGTAAAAAAATGCTTTGCGAAGGACGCCGCCTTTTGATATAATTTGTGCCATTTCACTACACTTTGAGAATATTCCACATATGTAAATTTATCGAAATATGTGGTAAAGAAAATGAATATCTTTAAATATTTCTTGGAAATTTACGTTTTTTTATGAAATCTGGTTTGCAAAATGTACTCACCTTTAATCTGCTTTTTGGTTAGAGCTTTGTCGAACGTTTTTCTGAAAACAAACCGTAAAAATTCTTGAAAATTTTTAAAATAAATTATAAATTTGTGTTCAGGTATAATTCTTAATTAGATATGGTTGATTATGTGACAGCATCTCGCAAAAAAATATTATTTAAATCTCAAAATATTTTGAGTTTTTCAAGAAAAAATGTTTCCAAAAAACACTATAATATCCAAATATAAAATTAATCTTTATTATTGTATTCGTTCCTTAATCTGAAATCAATTACGATTCACTTGGTATAGAAACCAATTATTTCATTTTAGAATATAGACAACAAATTTCTAGGAAAACTTATATTTTTCAACATGAAATTCATTAATTGGTAACCAAGGTCACTTGTCCATAAGACATGTCTGCAGCAATTCAATTCTTATATTAATATAAAACATAAAAGTCATAAAATGTTTTATTTCTATCGATTACATCCTAATTGCTGTAGCAATAAATATTTCGTCAGAACCATTTTGCAAATATTCTTCAACGATCTGTGAAATAACGCATCTATATACTAGAATCTTCTGTAAAATAAATTGAAGTACTGGGTTTCTTGTAAATCGAATTATATGATAACTTTGAACCATTTATGAAGGACGGTTGTCGGCTGGTTTAGTGAGGAGCAATTGACTTCAATTTAAATAATAAAAAGAAATAAAAAAAACTAAATTTAAAATTATTGTTAAATTAAAAAATGAATAATTGGTCATATGGAACAGAAATAAAACCACCTGATTCTTTTGTAATGATCACTGAATTCATAAGCAATTTAGCAAATTTATTTTGTGATGATGATTTAATGTGAAAAATGATTTGTCTTATATATATATATATATATATATATATATATATACATATATATATTTATAAATGTATTAATAGAGTTTAGTAATCAGGCAAGACATGAATAAAAAACATGAATTACTTTAAAAAAAATATTTCACATCCATACGTTTCGGCTATAATCCTAGCCTTCTTTCTGTGAAAGCTAAAAATAAAATTAAAAACTAAAACAATTGAATTGGAGTGAGAATAAAATAAAATAAAAAGAGTTAATAGTACTTACAATTAGTTAATCTGTGTTAAATTAGAAGATTTTAATAATCCATAGTATCAGGATATGATAATGCTCTCCTTGTAATAAAAATAAAAAAATATGACTACACTATGTAATATAAACATTAAATTTGTAATTATATAATATTTCACAAAATACTAATTTAAAAAAATTACAAATAGATAATGTGTTGTTTGTAGACTGGTTAAAGATATAATGGAGAAAAAACTTTTTAAAAATATTTTTACCAAGATTCTACACATGTGTGAAACGAATTGCGAATCCTTTGTGCAAAGTAAATAAGAGATTTATGTCGCACAGCGTGTTAAGTTTATTCCGTTTATTTTTTGCCTTATTGTTATGAATAGTTAAAAAAAGATCATTCTATAATTTTTTGTTTAAATAAATTTTGTTCGAATTGTAGTACAGTCGGGAAAGAAATGTCTATATTGTGTTTCAAAGCATTAATGTGGTCCGCAAACATAGTTTTAAATTGTCTGGGATATTTTAAAAATATTTTTCTATTGTTGTAAACGTTTAAGTTCTGGCTTGTAAATTAAATTACAATCCAGACTATTTATTTGATAGACGAGAATTCTAAGTCGGTCTATAAAGGGGTTTTTTATTTTGGTAGAGCTAGTCGTTGTACTAAAATTGTTTACAAGTCGGAGTCATCATTTGATGATTATTTTATAGAATCTTTATATTAAAATCATTTTCAAATAATCCTTATAATATCCA